AAACTAGTTTGTGATACTTCTTTCCAGAAGCAAGAGAAAACTAACTGGTGTTCCAAAGTCACAGGCTTTCTAATTTGCTACATTTCACTTAATATTTGTGTATTGCAACTTGTGTAAAACTGAGTCTTGGGCAACTCTATATTATAAAAGAGCTCTCATTAGATGCTGATCGATTAACTCATCTGATGCTTACCAAGTTAGAAAAATAAGTCTTTGAGAAACTAATTGATCTGCCCTTGGTAATACAATTTGTAGCAGATTGTTTCAGTCACTATTTTTTAAAAACCTGAAACAATACAAATGTCTTTCAATAAGGATCTATTACATAAATAGAATCATAGAACACTATCCACTTATTAAGAATGGTGATGGAGACTTATATTTATCGACATTAAAAGATGTCCTTCATATGCAGTTAGATAAAAACAGAAGAGTCTAATACATCCAAAAAGTCTTAGAAACTATCAGTACATTAATGGAAGCTAATTCTGAGGGGTGGGTTTCATTTTCCAAAATCTTTTCTATTATCTAAACTTTTTTACAATGCCTAAGTATTAGTTTAACAAAGAAAATAATAAAACGATTTCTAGTTTGGAAGAGGAAATATAAGAATATCCTCTACCAGGGCGCCTGTGTGGCTCAGTGGGTTAAGCCTCTGCCTTCGGCTCAGGTCATGATCTCCACGTCCTGGGATTGAGCCCCCGGTCAGGCTCCTTGCTCAGCAAGGACCCTGCTTCTCCCTCTCCCTCTGCCTGCTGCTCCCCCTGCTTGTGCTCTCTCTCCCTGTCAAATAAATAAATAAAATGTTTTTTTTAAAGGAACTATATTTTATACAAGAAAATGCTTACAACATTTTATTGTTATTCTTTATTACATTTCCTGGCACATATAAAAAGTTATCATTTTAAGCATGCTGTGAATTTAAGTGAGCCTCTTCTTCTACCAAAGCAAGTGCTATTATAATTGTTTTTCAAGTTATATTATATTAAAATATATATATATAGGAATGGCAAAGAATCCACTGTGTACATCCAAATGGAAAAATGATTATTTTTCATTAACAAAGGAGATAAATATGAACCAGAGAAGCATAAAATTATTTATTATAATTCAAAGCCATTTGTGGCTGCAAAGATAACTCAAATACATTCCAGCATAAACTCCCAATGCTCCTGTCTTTAATGCAGCTCATAACCCAGTGTCACACAATTTTCTAGGACTTACGGATCCATGGTGCACCCAACATTATCTCACTTCTGAATGCTGCCTTGATACTAACAGAAAAAAAAAAATCTGTGAATATGGGCAAACTAATAAAGGACCCCAATTATAAGAACAAGTCTCCCATACTAATGACAGTAGCCCACCCCATGTTCTTTTATTTCTATAGAATTTCCTTAATCTACTTTATTTTAGTGCAGAAAGTAACAAATCTTTACCTGTGGTACACACCAGAATTTCCTAGAGGGTTTGTTAAAAATGCATTTGCCAGGGCCCAATCTTACTCTGATCCAGAATGTTCAGGGTGGGGCTTAGACATGTGAATTTTCATTATGTGCTATATTAGTTTGCTTGGGCTGCCGTATCAAATACCACAGACTGGGTGGCTTAAAGAATAGAAATGTATTTTCTCACAGTTCTAGAGGCTAGAAACTGAAGATCAAGGTGTCAGCATGGTTGATTTCTCCTCAGGCTTCTCTCCTTGGCTTGTTGATGGCCACCTCCCTGCATCCCCATAAGGTCTTCTCTGTGCACACACACACCCCTGCTGTTTGTGTATACAAATATCTTCCTTTCGTAAGGATACCAGTTGTTGGATTAGGGCCCAGCCTAGTGATCTCATTCTGCTTAATCATCTCTTTAAAGGTCCTAAATCCAAATAGAGACACATTGTGAGGTACATGAGGTTAGGGCTTTTAACAGATGAATTTGGGGAGGATACAATTCAGCTGTAACAGATGCCGCACTGATACAGGTGGTCCAAGATTCACATATAGACAAGCATCGGTTTAGATTCTAGGTAAGCTAAATGTACACACTCACCTTAGTCATTTAGTTTTCTGTGCCTTAAAATATGTGGTCTCCTCTAGGAGGGTCTTGGTCTTTTACTCCTAAGAAAATATCATTTGATTATCATTTGGTTCTCCATCCTTGTTATCTACTCTATTCACTCTTTAGCAAAAGCAAAGGAGACTTACATTTTGAAGTAGTACCCTGAACTATGAAAAGAGGGATTCTGTCTAGGACACAGATTCACCTAGAAGTTTAATGTTAAACCTTTTTTCCCCCCAGCTAGTAGAATTATCTCCCCACTCCAAAATTTCAAGCTCTCCCTGGCCTGTCCATATGAATTCTCCCAACAAAAATTTCACCCCTCTTTCCTTCTATTGTACCATTGTACTTCTTCCATTCACAATGTCTCCTACCTTCAAGCTTTCCTCACCTACTGCAGTTAGTTACAGCAGAAACTGCCAGGGTATGAGACTTCTAGATTCATGTCCTCAGGTGTCTGATCAGATTATTTCCATCATGGAAATAACAGCCTTGCCAGACCCTGCTATATAAAATAGCCTCCCCAACCCATCCTGTTGATCTCTATCTCCTCTGCTTTCCTTTTCCCCGCATACTCATCACCACCTGACATAAAGTGTTTTTTTTTTTCCCCACCAGAACATAAATTCCATTTTGCTTTTCTCAGAGTGTAGAACAGTAGTAACCCAGGAAGATGAGCATGATCTTGAGGTGATCTTGCACTTCTCTTATGAAGTAAAAGGCAAGGTCTTCTGCTGAGAGGGAACTGGGGAGGTGGTAGTGGAAACAAGCCTGAGAATAATTCAGCAGGTCTGAAGATTTTTTATGGACAATGGGAGAGATTGGAGAAAATTCAAGAAGAGTGCTAGAGCTAAGAGAGCAAGAGCTAAAGTGGAGTCCATGAATGTTTCCTATCTACACTACTGTGTGATCTCTGGCAATTCTCACAGCCTGGAGAGGAAAAGAAAATGCAAAATGGTTATTCTGGTTCCTCAGTGACCACGATTGCTCCTTGGCATAACATCTTAGACCCTTCGTAGTAAGGCCCTATTTACCTCTCCTATTTATTCCTGAGCTATACCAAGTTTCTTTTTCTCCCTTAAACCTCTTTATATCTTGTCTTTGTGACTATGATTTCCTCTGAATTCCCAAGTTTCCCTTGGCTAATTTTTGTTTATCCCTTAAAGATTCCACTCAAATATTGTATTTTGAAAATGTTCCCAAAGTTCCTCAAATATTAGCCACTGCACTAATCATCATCATACTTTTTTTCTTAAAATCCACGATCTTTGAAATACAGACCTAGGTTCAAGATGCAGCTATCATTTACTGTGTGATCTTGAGCAAAATAGTAAACACTTTTATCCTTCAGCCACCTCATCTGTAAAATGGATATAATGATAAGACACTGTTTGAAAAGATTAAATGAAATAATGTACACAAAGTACCTGGTGTGTAACTGAACAGCTAAGGATGTTATTATTATAATAACTTGCATGTTTCCCTCTCTTGAAAGTTCCTTAAAAGCAGTGTTCGCGTCATGTTCATCTGCTTATCCCTAATATTTGACACAGTACCTGGAACACGTAGTAGGTTCTCCAGAATTGTGTAATAAATTAGTAATTAATGGAATGAAATAAGTAGTTAAAGATGCTTCTAAGATTATGAGATTTTTTTTGAGTTCGAATTACAGCAAAGAAAGACCAAGGGTTGAGGATGCACACATATTATTTGCACGAGGAAGAGGCAGTTTTGGTAATCCAAACAGGAGCATCTTTTTTCAAGAAAATACAGCACAATGGACATTGGGGAGGGTATGTGCTATGATGAGTGTGGGGAAGTGTGTAAACCTGGCGATTCACAGACCTGTACCCCTGGGGAAAAAATATATATGTTTATAAAAAATAAAATTAAAAAAAAAAGAAAAGAAAATACAGCACACACTGAAAAACTAAAAACTGAGAATCGTTACACTGGCAAGCAAAACAGACGTGGACCTCACACTCATGGAGCTAACAATCGGATACACCCAACACAAAAACTTATATTCACTTTTACTGCGTTTCGGACTTTCTGCCTCTCTCTTTCAATAGAATTGACTCTGGGAAGAGCAGTTTCTTATTTAAGTTTCTTATTTAACTTTGAATGTCCAGCACCCAGTAATGTTTAATCGCGGCTGGAGCTCGATGAACGTTTTGGGAATGAATCAATGCCACAAAAGGAAGCAAAAGAGCTAGTAGCCCTAATGGAAGTAAGTATCTGTTGCATTCCGGGAGGTTCTCTCCACAACCCAAGCAGTGAACTCATTCGCCCAAAGGAGCAAGCCCCTTATTCCAAGATCCTGGTATCCCACCCCAGAGTTTGCTGGAAAACAGGAGCGAGGCACAGGACAGAAACAAATCTTCTCTAGATTCCACCGGTCTTAGCACCTGGCTTGAGGAAACATCCACACTTCTAACGGCATTATATAATTTAAACAGCCTCCACATCTTTGAGAGCACCACCCCAAAAATTACCGGACCCACTCCGCGGTGACAGGAAAGAGAAGCCCCGCTCTGCTTCTAAACTAGCCAATCCAGGGCGCCTGGGTGGCTCAGTGGGTTAAGCCGCTGCCTTCGGCTCAGGTCATGATCTCAAGGTCCTGGGATCGAGTCCCGCATCGGGCTCTCTGCTCAGCGGGGAGCCTGCTTCCCTCTCTCTCTCTCTCTCTCTCTCTGCCTGCCTCTCTGTCTACTTGTGATCTCTCTCTGTCAAATCAATAAATAAAATATTAAAAAAAAAAATAAACTAGCCAATCCAAACAGCCAGGATAGGCGGCGCGGTGTCTTCTGGGATGTGTAGTCTATTCAGTTTAAGGCTTTCCTCATGACTACAATTCCCGGCGGCCACGGGGCTCCAACTGTCCCCTTCCTGGGGGCGGAGCGCCCGGCGAACTGGGGCTGGGCCCTCGCCCCTCCCCCACGTGACGGATCGTGGTGCAGGCAGTGCCGGGGTGGGAGTTCCCACGTGTTGGTGTTTGGTAGCCGAATTTGGTCTACGCTGATCTCCAAGGCCTGTGGGTCTGCGCCTGCGGCGATGCCGAAAATCAAATCGGGGACGAGTGGTCGGCGGCGCGAGCGGCTCAAACAGAGCCGGGAGCTGAAGAGTGCCGGAGGTGGGGACAGCCGGGAAGGGGCTGTGTTCAGGTGTGATCATCCCGCAGGACCCAGTCGGGGACACGGACACAGATCTGGGCCCAGGACTGTAAGGCCGGTGGCGGCGGCGCTCCTGGATCGCCGGCGAGGCCTTGGGCCGCATCTGCCTTCCTTTCCTGCAGAAGGGGTGGACTTAAAGCACTGGGTCACCTCGTCTCCGAGCGTGACGTTCGATGATGGCTCTCGTTGGCGCAGAAAAGTTCCCCCAGCCACCTTGCTTTCTCCTCTGGGACGGTCTAATGTCTGCTTTTCCTTGGGAAGTTAAGGCTCTTTCGTATTTTCTTCCAGGACTCATGTTCAACACGGGGATTGGACAGCATATTTTGAAAAACCCTCTCATTGTTAACAGCATTATCGATAAGGTTGGTGTGGAAGAGGAAAAGGAGAGAGTTGTTGAGTTATTGATTTTATTCTTAGGAATACTTCCACGCACGGAGAATGACTGTCACAAAATAGGTTGTAAATATTTGTAGAATGAATTGAAGAATTGTCTGGGATTCATAGGCTGACTTTGGCATGATTTGCTTTATATTCTGTGGTCTGGGCGTCTCCTGGCTCGAAATTCTTTCTGTAGATTACTTACTTCATAGCTGGACATTTGTACTTGTTCAATTCCAGATTATTGTTATTCTATTTCTAATCACTTTTCTAGACACTATCACTTTTAGTTTTTATTTACTCCAGAGCCTAAAAAGATGTCATAATGACAGCTTAAGTATTTTCCGCAGAGAAACTTAAATGTTACAATCCAGTGCCTCGTATAAACCCTTTGGAGTATTCTTCTTGTGTGGGTGATGTGGATGTTCTCTTACTGTTCTGGATGATGAGAGTGCTGGAACATGAAATGTATGTGATACAGATTACTTTCACAGTTACAGAGGAGGCATCCTGGAGCTCTAGAGAGAACATTACATGTTTAGAGGCTCTCATCTTGACCTAGTGTTGTTTGCCTGATTTTTTTTTAACCTTTTTGGCTCATGGATTTCCTTTGAGCAGCTGATAAAAGCTTTGTATCCAGCACACTGCAGCTTTGTGCATACAAACATCTGGGGCTGTGTACAATTTCTAGGTATTCCTATCCCTGAAACCATATATGGGTTGAAAATTGAGAAATCCCAGTGCAACATGCTGTGATTCTCAGGCAAGGTCGTCATATACAGGCCTTTCTTGTTTGAACTTACTGATAATAAGAGTTGGCTAAAAGATGCTGTTGGAGGTAGAAAACAAAAGCCATTGAGGTAGAACAGAAAGCCGTTCCCAGAAAGTTCCTGCTTTTCTGAGTCCTAAAATTTTCTGACTCCTAACCATTGCCCCAGCTTAGGAGAGGTGACAGATTTCCACTTTTACCTAATGTTAATGAGAAAATTTTGTCAAGCACATAGATCTGAAGGAATCTCATGGAAGTGGAGTCAGAATAATCTCTTAATCACGTGCTTTTGAGCAAAGACACTCAGGTGTAAAATAAATGATGTGTTCGGATGTGCCAGTAAAGCTAAAGTAGCTGTGCTTCCTTGCAGGCTGCCTTAAGACCAACTGATGTGGTGCTGGAAGTTGGACCTGGAACTGGCAATATGACTGTAAAGTTGCTGGAAAAGGCAAAAAAGGTAAAAAGGGAATTATTTGTTTTGGTATCAGAAATATATATGTGAGTAGGCTCACCTGGTTTACAAACAGAAATCTATTTTAATTAATCGCTGTTACTTTAACAGCAACCCTTGATACTTTGCTCATGGCTTTATCTTAACAAATACAGGCAAGATGGATAAAAGTGGTAAAACCTATAAACTTCCAGCTATAATCTAAGTCCTAGGAATGGAATTTACAGCATGGTCGCTATAGTTAGCAATATATATTGTATGTATATTTTAAAGCTGCTAAGAGAGTAGATCTTAAAAGTTCTCATCACCAGACAAAAAAATTTTATATATATAACTATGTGTGGCAATGGATGCTAACTAGACTTTTACACAATATATGCATATTTTGAAGTATATAAACATAGTGTTATACACCTGAAATTAATATAATGTTATAATGTGAATTATATCTTGATTTCAAAAATTGGATTAGAATAAAGAGAATATGGGATGTATTAATCAGCAAAACAGAAAACACATTCGATTTTTCAATACAGAGTATTTAATATAGGGAGTTGTTGACATGGTTGTTAGATGACTGAAACAAAATGGGAACACACTGGGGCACCTGGGTGGCTCAGTGGGTTAAGCTACTCTGCCTTTGGCTCAGGTCACGATCTCAAGGTCCTGGGATAGAGCCTCACATAGGGCTCTCTGCTCGGCGGGGAGCCTGCTCCCTGCCCCCCCCCCCCCGCCTGCCTCTCTGCCTGCCTGTGATCGATCTCTCTCTCTCTCTCTGTCAAATAAATAAATAAAATCTTTTTTAAATAAATAAAAAGAAAATGGGAACACTGAAGTAACCCAAAAATAATAATTACAAAGAGGAGCTACCACCTCTAGGCTCAGGGGAACAAGTTAAGGAGGCTGGAGTACTGGAACCTAGAGGAGGAGATCTGAAGAACTGTATCATGAGATTAGGATGCCACCTGGCTGCTGCTGGTAGCTTGTGTGTGTCATGGAAACCCAGTTTCCAACTAAATGGATCCAAAATGTAGGAATGGGGTTAAGGGAACCAGTCGGCATTACTGGAATACCCATGGGCTAGCAACAGCAGGAAACAGTTACCATCAAAGGCCTCAAGGAGCACAAGGAGGAACTGCCCAGTAAGAGTGGGAGGCATTGAAGGGGCCAGAGAGCACAGTCTGCTTTTCTGAACGCTGTTCTTTGTTGTTTGAAATGGCAGAGAATTGAAGGAAAATTGAAGGTAATATTGTGGAAAAAAGTTTGATTCATGTTGATCATATAAGAGTTAGGATTGAGATAACAAGATTCATACTCCATAATTAACCCCCAAATACTTTTTTTTTTTTTTTTTTTTAATGTAGGTGGTTGCCTGTGAACTTGACCCAAGGCTAGTAGCGGAACTTCACAAAAGAGTTCAGGGCACGTGCGTATGAGTATGCATGACAGAATTAAAGTGCATTTCAATCTCATGAAACAGTACTGTTTTTTAATTGCTATTTTTCTTTTCATTAGGCCTCTGGCCAGCAAACTTCAAGTACTGGTAGGTGATGTGTTGAAAACAGATCTGCCATTCTTTGATGCTTGTGTGGCAAATTTGCCATATCAGGTATGTTTCCATATTGTTGGGAACATTATACAGAACGTTTCTATCGTGTGTCTTACCCAGAAATAACTAGTTAATTCTCTTACAGATCTCTTCCCCTTTTGTCTTCAAACTGTTGCTACACCGACCTTTTTTCAGGTTTGTGACAAAAGACCAAAAAATTACTGCCAAATCTTACGCCATAAACACAGAGAGCCAAAGATAGAAGTTAATTCAATTAAAAAACTATTGGGGAATGTTTTGTAGAAAATATCTATTTCTGTGGAGGTCTTTCTATCTTTTTTAATTCAGTTGACAGAGTTCTGGTGGCGATGTGCAGTGTAAGGACTGCCTCTGAGACCAGATGGCCTTTCCCTGTTTTCTCATACTCTTGCCATTAGTCTGGGTTAGACTCATTACCCTGAATCTGAACAGTTGCAGTGGCCTCCTGACTAGTCACTAGCACATTACATAACATGGGTTTTCAAACTGCAATTCAGAAATCTCTCACTGTTTATAAATTTATTGAGTCATGACCATCATTTTTTTTTTTTTTAATGACATGGAATAGAGTATATCAGAAGACATTCATTGCATGTGGCCGGGTACTTACAGTTTTATGAAACTTTTGCTCGAGTTACATCAACACATATATGTGCACATATTTGTGGCGTAGGTTGCAGTGTTAAATATTTTTCTTAGTATGGCTCATTGTCAAAAAAGTTTCAAACTCAAAACCCAGCTTTGAAGATGCTCTTCTCCTATGCAGGAGCCTCCAAAAAGCCTCTGCATTGCTTTCTGACATCCACGCTCCTTAGCCTCGGAAATCAGGACACCAGTGTCACAACCTCTTCTCCTCCTCAGCTCTTCCATAAGGGGGTTTCCTTCCCCATAAATAGCATTGGGCTGCCAAGCCAATTTGGTTTGAGGTTTTTTTTCTTCCTTGAAGGGTTAACGAACTAGTGCTTATCAGAAATACTTTCTCATCTAAACACGGAGGGTTTATATGTGTAAATTAGTGGTGCAGCCATTATAAAATGAAAAGCCAACTGGCTCATTTTATGGTAATAAATCTAAAGCTGAAAGTTTTCTGCCTTCTAATCAGCTAAACGACTTCTCATTAACCAGATACTGCTTTGCTCTATTTCCTACCTAAGAAAACTGATGTTGACATACCTTTATAGTTAAAAGTAACCATTTTCTTTATTCCTTCCTACTGTGTCTTCAGATGTGCTATACTTATGTTTCAAAGAGAATTTGCTCTCCGACTAGTTGCAAAGCCTGGAGATAAATTATACTGCAGACTCTCAATCAATACACAGCTGTTAGCACGAGTGGACCATCTGATGAAAGTAAGTGACTGTTAGTAAAATAATGTGGCTTACGTCATCCGTTAGCATCTAATTGTGCCTTCTGTGAGGAAAGCATATTTGATTATTAATTTAAAATTCTTTTTTAGAGGACTCATTTTCTGATTAACAGGTTGGAAAGAATAACTTCAGACCACCTCCCAAGGTAGAATCCAGTGTCGTAAGAATAGAACCTAAGAATCCGCCACCACCTATCAATTTTCAGGTGAGGTTAAAGTACTAGGTCTTTTAGTAAAGGAGGAAAAAAGACCAAGCTGGAAGACGTGTGTCTCTAGTAGCAGAAAAATACTGAGTTAATCTAAATGTCTAAACAGGAAAATGCCAATTATGACATCCCTAGGTTGGGAGTATATGGAATAATTGGATGTAAGATCGTTGTGAAGAGCACAAAAAAGCATGGAAAATGTTTGCAGAAAGTACAACTTAGAGTGGCTTTGCATTTTGCTAACAAGTACAGCTATAGAAAACATGTATCTATTTGAGTAGACTCAGAAAACAAGTTAAAATGAAAATAGTTGTTAGGGCAATATTATGAATAACAATTTTCAATCATAATTTATGTTTCTGCAATTTAAAAAGTGAGTTAAGTTGCATCACTTCGTGTAAAACCATACTGCACATGATTAGTTGTGTGGTCAGTAACTCCTGGTAATGGAGTGGTTTGTTAATTACTCCTATAGGGTGGGTCAGGTATGTTGCACAAGCTATATTCTAAATCATGTCTGTTTTGAATTGTTTTTTTGAAAATGTACTTTGATTTAAATAAATGTCACATGCTTTGTTCAGATGTGGAACATTTTTTTTCCTAACTTCTAAAATTGAGGATAAAATTTTCAGTGAGGTAGACAAAAGTGCCAAAAATCGAGTACATATCTTTGCATGGGTCAACCAGATCAAGATCAGAACACTTTCATCACTCCAGAAGGTTCTTTCAGTTTTATATATTAAAAGACAATATAATACCTAGCCGACACAGGCAAGGTTTGATATTTTAAGAAATAATTCATCTTCTGTTTCAGGAATGGGATGGCCTAGTAAGGATCACCTTCGTTAGGAAAAACAAGACACTTTCTGCTGCATTTAAGTGAGTATTTTACTCATTTATGATAGATGAAGGACCAGTGCTATAGAACTGTGCTAAATGATAGCATTTGGTCCTTATCCTGAACATAAGGATTACCCATGTCCAGACACACTTGTCCTTTTTCACCAACTCGTACTTTGAGGGGCAGGAAAATTTAACAAAGAAAGTTCCTGAAATTTGGAATTAGATCAGATTTTTTGGCAAAAGAGGAAAATAAAAACTCCCAAAACTTACCACACATCGGTTTCATTTTTCCTTGGAAAAACAGAGTGATGGTGGCCCCTTTCCACACTTGTGAAAAATTCATGCAATTTTATTAACTTGGAAACATTTTTAAGTAACAGTTTGAAGCCCAAGGGCAAAAGAGAGGTTCTGAAAGCTGTTACTGCGCTTTTTTTCTTTTTAAGGTGATGTTTTTGTGGAGTGTCTAGAACTCCTTTAAGAATTTCAGAGATTATTACTAGAACTTTACTTTTTAAATGTAACTAGTTTGCAGTTCTTAGGTTTAAATATTCAACACCTTTTAGTCCCTTAATTTTACTACATGGAACATACATTTAACTTTACCATAAGCTGAAAGGAAAATATAATCTCTAATTTTGGAAAAATAATAGCAGTATCGCTTCTTTATGTTATAGGTCAAGTGCAGTGCAACAGCTACTGGAAAGAAACTACAGAATTCACTGTTCAGTCCATAATATTGTAAGCAAGAAATAGTTCTGTGGTCTCTGGTTCTGAATGGTTGTGTTTTAAAATGTCCCTCTACTTCCTATTCTTCATCTATCATCACTTGATTCTTAATTTGGTACATTCCATAGGATTCTTGAAAGTAATCTATTAACTAGCACAACCTTAAGGTCAATACTGCTGTGTGTTCCTGGAATAGATGAGTGGCCTTGATTACTCCACCTGAGCTTCTTTAACTAGTTGTTTTTAGACATAAAAAGCCATTCAGTTGAGTCATAATTTTCCCAAAGCTTTAGGTATGTGTAATTTTCCCGAAGTTTAGGTATTTAGTTCCTCCCCTTAGCTCAAAGTCTGTACTATTTGCTATGCTCTGAATTGTGACCATTCCTTGTTTGTTGCTCATGAAGCAATTCAATTTAAAGTCTGCATTTTCTGGGTAACTTTTTTTAATACCCAGAAATTGAAATAATTCGAATTAAGTATAGGCTGAATAGCAGATTTACAGTTGTAAGCCTCATGCCTCTTTACTATCTGTGCAACATTTTCTTCACCCAACTTTCTATGTGTGTCAGCACACATACACATAGCCATAAATATAACTGTGATGTTTGGTAACTTTTTAGTTCTTTCACATTAAACAGAGCAGAAAGATAAGAGCAAAAATCCATTGTATTTTTTGACTCAGATTTTGTATGGTTTAATATATCATATTGCTACCTTCATTTTCTCTTTTATGGACAAAATCATTAAACATCTGCCTAGGTAGGAAAATATTAAACTGGATTAAGAAAAATTTTTGGAAGAAAGATGTGAGGTATAAAATATTTAATATTCCCCAGGGTCGGAGGTCATCTCTTTGAGAAAAACGGGCTGATAAAATTAAATTTGTGCCAAGAAAATGTGAGATATTTTTAAAGGAGTAACAGCTGCTGTAAAATTCAGTTTACAGCTTTAATTATTTTTTGATATGAAGTACCTTAACTCCAGAAACTTAACTATTTCAGAATTTTTAAGAAAAAGGGCAGTATACACGTTTAACTCATTCAGAGTTTTCTGAGTATTTGGTATATGCTGAAAATTAACTACTTAATAATTAGAGATCCAATTCTAATCTGCACAAATAGGCTATTCAAACTATCGTGAGCAAATAAAGGTGACTATTTTATCAGTTACTGAACTAAAAAAAAAAAAAAGAGAGAGCCAACATGACTTCATTAAAGATATGTTGTTCATTTATTCTGAATCTTATATTGATAGATAATACCAGAAGATTTCAGCATAGCAGATAAAATACAGCAAATCCTAACCAGCACAGGTTTTAGTGACAAGCGGGCCCGTTCCATGGACATAGATGACTTCATCAGGTAATAACATTTTCCTTTTCTCCTAAGTGTTTACATTTCTTTACTGTGACACCTTCAGATTAGAGATTTAAAGGCTTTTAAGCGGTATAAGGTGCTACCTGGAGTTATTGCATAGCACTTCCATGGCATGGAATAGTATTTGGTGTAGAAGATGGAGGCTAGTTAGCTGCAGCAGAATGAACATTTTAAGAACAGTAATAAAGAACAGTCCGAGCCTGGAGACAGCCTCTGTGTCAATGTGTGTTGTGGTATGTGTGCTCCTCCCCTTCAGCCTCCTCCCCAAACTCCCATTCATAGGTAGTCTTAATAGTGTGTGTCTTCAAAGTAGCTTGTTAAGGTAGAAGAAGCATAATGCATGTCATTGGATCTCATTTTTTTTTCTGTACTGGGAAGAGCTATTGTTAAACAGATCCTACACATGAAATAATGTCAATTATAATCATACCTGGTATTCAGTTCTAACTGGTTTAGTAATCTAGTTACTTGTTTTGTAGACTGAGGCAAGTTCTACATACCTAAAATAAAAGGGTGTCACAATGGGGTAGTCCAGACCAAAATGTATTTTCCTTGAATTAAGTTAGTCTTATGAAAGCAGATTAAGCCTTCAGTTACCTATGCTCACTGTTTTTAAGCATTAACCCTTTGATTTCCTAATAAACCATCACTTAACAGCTTTTGCCTGTTTAGCCAATTCATGTTTAGAAGGTCCATGTTCTAGGGGCTGAATTAAAAATGAGGGTAGATTGTTATAAAAGTAACTGACTTGACTTTTCTAAGCTGGCAGCATAGTTTCATATGAGACAGATGGGGTTTATATTTTATGTTGGCAGGCAGTACTACTGAGTCTTCATCAGAGGTTAATCCTAGGAGTTGAACATTACTCATAAGTACCGATCTTCCTTTTCAAACATTCTAATCCACCTTCAACTCTTCTTATGGGCCATCCTGAAAATCATCTTAGTTCTAAACAGAAATAGTTCATCTTATTTTAATTCTCACCAAATTTCTTCAAGGTTATTAAGCATATGCAGTTTACTAACTGGGATCCAGTAAGTACAAAGGTATCGAGAGAAAAGCAATGTGTTAAGTACTTAATTGGAACCTCAGTAAGTGAGCCCAGAGAGGAAAAATGAACATGTAAAATTATCTCTTGTTTTCTTACCATGTTGAAACAGAACAAGGGCCACTGAGGTCTTATGTCTGGATAGTGGAGATCTAAGATAATTTGGTCAGCGTTACCATAACTTAAGACACATAGGCTGTGGCAAAAGAGGCCAAAGAATGATGTGATTTTAACCAATATATACCTTGCAAATTTAATTGAAGAGTAAAGTTTTTGTAATGACTAGTGTTAGGAAGAGGTGGGCTTCAGAGGTTTGTTGATGTGTTTGTTTTAGAATTCGTGGTATAGGAACTGCGTATTATATGCAATAAATTACTTTTTCAATACCATTTCGTTTTTTTTTTTCAGATTGCTACATGGATTCAACGCAGAAGGTATACATTTTTCTTAGGAATCTGGAAAACAGAATTTTCCAAACTCAAGAAAAAGAAACTGGAATTATATATTTTTAACAATTTGAAAAGATGAACCATGCCTATCTTCACTGGAACATATGTTTTTTACTTCCTACTACTGTCACCATTTATTACTCTGAATTTTTGTGGTAGTAAGTCAGTCAATTCTAAGTACCCAAGTTTTTTTTGGTTGTGTTGTGTTTTTAGTATCTAAAGTAGGGCAGGGTCCAATCTTTGCATGATAATTTCAAGAGCCGCAGGCACGCACAACTTTACACTTAAACCTTACCATTTCTAACAGATTAGTGTATAAAGATATTACTGTTCTATTTTCTATGTTATATATTACTATGAGGACCTCTCTAGGTCTTTGTCCCTCAAATAGTAAAAAAAAAAAAAAAAAAACACCTAAAATATGCTTAACTCAGTCACATATTTCCCATAGTATTTCTTTTTATTAATCTGCACAATAAAACAACTGTTTCTTATTTTGCTTCTCTCATTCCTTGTTTATCTTATGCAGCTTCTTTCACTTACTGCCTATGCCTTCAAGATGTCCTGTAGCATTCATAGGCTCCATCAGGTTCTGGGTAAATGTGAGTCCGCTACTGCCACCATGCGGTGGTGCCAGGCATGTGACTTCTGGGCCTGGTTCCTCAACTGTGAAATAATGAAGCTCAACTAGAATAAAATGAACTATAAGACAGTATGTTTTTTCTTGGGGAAAGCCACAGGTTTAACAAAATTTCAAAGGGTTTTATAAATCAAAACTGGCTTTGAAGTTCAAATTCTGCCCTTCAACTTATTTAAAACAAACAAACATCACAACCAGCCATTTTCTCATAACTAGAAGTTCTTGGTATTCATGTAACTTCTGGAAAACTAAAAGTTCCAGCGTCTTTTTCATATACTAATGCTTAGTTTTAAGCTGTTTTTAAAATGGCCGGTTGACAATTTAAATAGGCGCCCTAAACAAGTCTTAATTAGCTACTATGTTTAAATCATTATAAATATAATACTAAGTGTTGTTAATGTCTTTTGATAAAGAACTATAGTACCTGATTATTTATATAAGGAAATTAATAAAAATATCTTAATCGATAACTGACTTTTTTAAAGCCTAACTTAATAGACTGCTTCCAAATTATTTTAACAAAGGTACACTGAGTAAACCTAGAAAGGAAGTTGTTTACCTAAACAGATTTTTTTCTGGCTTCAGAGTGATATACTAAAACACTCCTATATAAATACTTACTTATTAATAGGAATATCAGCTTTCAAGAAATCTGAGAAAGAATGTTTAATCCAGATCCAAAAAATTCTTTAAATAGCTGCATCAAGCCACTTCTACATAAATATTAAATATACCTTGAGTTTTTTTTAATATCACAAAACTACTTACTTTGCAAAATTTATTTGTACCATCTCTAGCCTTAAAGGAAAATTTTAAGAATTAATTCAGCTTTCCCTCTATTTCCTCTTGAACTCTTCCCCTAAGAACTACTAAGTTTTAGTCCCTTTTCTGGCCTTCAGTTTTCCCTATCTGTAAAACTGAAGGTTTGGATTATACCACCAAAATCTTTTCTGGCACTAATCTTCTATAGACCTTGATTACTGATTAGAATGAAGCCAGTAATAGTATAAGGCAGCATATTTGAATGTTAAGGAGATCTTCCAGAGATAGTACCCATCTTATTTAATAAATTAAGAATAATCTGTTGTGCTTTAAAGTGAGCAAGTTCACATCTCTTTATTGCCCTCTGAAGGTTGGTTAGCCTCAAAAACTACCTTTTTAAGCAGCCTCTGCAAGGTCAATAGTATCTGCTCCATTCTTCCTCTTCTCTTTGAAATAAACACAAATAGAACATATCTTAAAACTGCAAGAAAACCTGAGTCCCTTCCAAAACAAAGGTGATTGTACTGAAGTAAATTATCTCTAAAACTCATTCCATAGATATTTATTAATAAGCACATTGTGAAAATCTACATTTGTTCTAGATTTCAAGTTTACAGAGGAGCATTTCACCATGGTGTTAGGATTTCCCACAACTACCCTCTGGGTTCTATGAACAATGAAGTAGGGAATCTGGCTCATGTAACTCTCTATTCATAGCTTCCCTTTGCCTCAAATGAATGAGCAGTAGTTCCTTTGAGTAAATCAAAACAAGACATCCTCGGGAGATTTTTTTGTTATTAATCTACTCCTGGACTCTATCCTAGGAACTAAGGGAGAACTCCTAGAGAGATATATAAATCTTTTAACAAAATATATACATGAAAAGTGGCCAGTTTTCTTCCTTGGAGTAGCAATCTGTAAAAATAAGTGCCACCATTTAAAAAGCAGCATACCCTAATCGAATTTATTGGCGAGACTTTGGTGATTCTCACCAAGTGAGAATGAAACGTCACACATTAGGTAATGGATGGGCTTGGGTTTGATCTGCCTTTTAAGGCAAAGTCAACTCTCTTTCATCTTAATTCTTTCTCATGGGAGTTATGTACTGTCTACACTTGGCTTAAACTAACAGTTCTATTATGGACTACTTTCAGTGTACATGTAAATATTCATGCATCAGAAGCCAATTTCCTTTATCAGTACATTTAGAAGGTATGTTTTGGGGTGCTATTGGACACTTTTAACTTAAGTAATGGTATTGGTAAGGATCAAATTGCACTATTAGTCCTGTTAATACCACACTGGAACACACACTGCATATATATGTATTACCCTAAGATAAAACTCTTTTCAGAATTTTGTTACTTTTTATTATACACCAACTAGTTTATATCTTAGTTCTTTACAAAGAAAATGCTAAGAAAATTATAACCACATTATATGGTTTTAAAATCATAATTCCAGATTTCTTTACATATAAGATGGAATGGTCCAGCAGCTATGTCCACTGTCACAGACTTTAGTTCCATTCAATGATATGGCACATCCTGCAAAATTAACTAGTCACACACAAAAAATGTCTCAAATACAGTAAAAATGTACACACAATAAAGGTAATTTACAATGACAATTAAGGAATGTAATTTATCTTGGCTGTGCTTCAGAATTTAGGGTCAAAAGCCTTAGTCAAGGCACAAAGCAGAAAGAGGTGAGCACAGCTGTCTCTAGGAGGGGGCAAGGTATGTACAATCACTGATGAGGTATGCATGCACGCAAAGGATTTAAAACTGCTCAGTCTTGCTACGAAAATTGAACCAAGTTAAAAGGAAATGCTGTGGCTTCCCCCTACTATTCACCTCTGTATCAAGTCCACAACCTTACTTCATACAGAAAATAAAATTGGCAAGGATCTCCAAAAGTAAATCACTGTTTGGGTAAATGAAACAAAATGCTTCACTATTCCCAGATGTTGGTTGTGCCTCCTGGACTAGAAGCATTTTGTAGACAAAGGAGTGTTTCACAAAATTGAAATGTCATTCAGGTGAAGGGACAAGACATTTTCCACAGACACTTAAAATTTCAAACTTTCAAATGGCCCTTACAGCTGAACCATTGTATGTTACAGCAGTGTGGGTTCTGGGGATCCTTTAGCAGCAAATGCTGATTTAAAGGGCACGGGGTCTCTTCGGGTTGATTTGCTTGCTGGCCTGTTCTTCTTCTTGTAGAGCTGCACGAAAAGATTTCACTTTATCTTGGAAAAAAGAAAAGAACAAGAGAATAAGTACTGCGTTGCATGCAATACAGTATACAACTTCATGGGTCCTATCAAGTCGGCAGCCTTACTTCATAACATTAATGCAGGATTTTTCCTTTTGTTCTCTGTTGTCCGAAACTCAGAATTAAATATAATACTCAACTATAGCAAAAGTTCCTTATTTAAAGATTCATGAAAATAACCTTTTTTAGAAAAGATTTTATTTATCTATTTTAGAGAGAGAGCGCTCATGAGTGAGAGAACTCAAGTAGGGGAAATGGCTGAGGGAGCAAGAAGCAGAGGGAGTAGAAGACTCCCTGCTGGGCAGGAAGCCTGATGTGGAACTCATCCCAGGACCCTGGGATCATGACCTGAGCTGGCGGCAGACACTTAACCGACTGAGCCACCCAGGAGCCCGAATATAACTTTCTTCTTTATCTTCAACGGGTTTCTGTTCTGTTTGGCACACTTTACAGTGTTGAATTTTGGCTTATTTCAATTCCTTTTGGAGTGCAGACAGGCTATATTATGTGTGTTAAATGTGTACGGTCCTGTAAAAAAAAAACATTGAGTCCCTGAGATCAAGAGTCGGGGCACCTGGGTGGCTCAGTGGGTTAAAGCCTCTGCCTTCGGCTCAGGTCATGATCCCAGGGTCCCCACATCGGGCTCCCTGCTCAGCAGGAGCCTGCTTCCCCCTCTCTCTCTGCCTGCCTTTCTGCCTACTTGTGATCTCTGTCTGTCAAATAAATTAAAAAAAAAAATTAAAAAAAAAAAAAAAAAAAAAAAAAGGTCACATGCTCTAATCAACCAAGCCAGCCAGGTGCCTCCAAATCTTATTAAATTATAAAGTAGATATTTCTTCCCTCGATATTAAGAAATTTCTATTCCCAATGCCTATTTTACCTTTTTAAGCTATGAAATTTCAAAAGATGTTTGAATTTTTAAAAACAAATGCCATTTTGTCCTTATCAGGGATTGTAAAAGGGGATAGAGAAGGGGGATTATAGAATAATCTATTTCTTGGTCTTACAATTCCTACTATTATGTATTAATTCAGAGTCCCATAAGAATATTACTAGGTAAATAAATTGAAAGAGGCAAATAAAATGAAGGTGAGAAATATCTTGTCTCTTTTTATACCAGTGGTTCTTAATCATGGGTGATGTTCCCCCACCACCCCCCTGACATCTGATAATAACTAGACATTTTTGACTGTCACAACTGGGGTAGTGGCTACTGTCATCTAGTCATCAGAGACCAAGGATCCTGGTAAGCAATGTACCATGCACAGGACGGCACCCTCAACAGTTATCCAACTTAAAATTAATGGTGCAAAGGTTATGGCCTTTGGGAAAAAAGAGAATATCAGTTAGAATCTCAATTTCTTTCCCCTCTTTCGAAGAACAATGATATTTAAAAAATTAACTTCTGAAATTTAGAAAGGAATTTAAGGATCTCTGGATCTCATATCTGTTAATATAAGATAAAAGCTCTCAAACTTCTTATGTTAATACCAAAATTATCTCTGGATGGTAAAAAAAATTTTTTTCCTAAAAAAAAAATACAACAGCTAGACAGTAATTTCTTCAAAGTTATGGATACACTTAATACAACTAAGTTGAATGCCACATATTACAAAGAAAAAAATTGTAATTCATTATGATCTGTCCTATATAAAATACATACAGAAAAGCTCTTTGTGAGTTCTGATAAGAAAAATGATCAAAACACTTTAACCAAGGCTTGAATATGAAGAATATGAAAAACGAAAGTAAGTTTTAGAAACTCTACATTTGCACCAACAATTCTGAATTGGGCAAATGGTCACTGCTGGCTCTTCAAAGAATATGATTTCAAATACCCAACTTCACAAAGGACCTATGTTAAAAATTAGCCAGTCTGGTGTTAAGAACCAGCAATTCGATTCTGGTTTTACACTGCATTTCATGTACACATAAAAAGATATCCATTTGCATACAAGTGGAGAAAACTAATTTGCCAACGCCACAGAAACAAGTACATAAGATAAACGTTTATGTGAAGCTACACAGACAAGCTAATTAAAAAGCCAAGAACAGATGGCATGTAGGTAAGTCACATACATTTGCAAAGTAGGAAGGAAATTGTTGAAAGGTCTTGAGTTGTTCAAGGTCTTGAAACCTTCCCCTTGATTTTTTAAGGCTTTAAAGGAGAGACATGACACAGATGCACAGAAAAGAGATGCAGATAGGAGGCTACAGAAGGGATGGTCCTGAATAGACCCAACCTAAGCAAAATAATTCTGACAAGCACTGACCTATCAAACTAAAAATCTGAATGAGTGTATAAAACTTACAAATTTGTTAAAATCCATTTTCCCTCTTTAAATATAAGATGCTTTTATCTTTTCAAATGCCTAAAAGAGAAAGGATAACTAAAAAGCACTTGAAAAGAATACTCCATGTTTCTTTTTTATAAAAAAACAGAATGACTGGTCTGTCTTTATAACTCTGGAAATGTATTAAATGGTACCCATAATTTTTATTTTAGATATCCTCTTGCAATATGAAAATCCTGCCACCACTTACATACAAAGATGGAGATTTCAAGCACTAAAATGAAAAAGAAATTACCACGCAGCTCAGTTAAAATGTCTATTTTTTGCTCAAGAATAGCTTCAAGTTGAGTAGCATATGAATCTACATCATAGTCTACTTCTTCAGTCATCTCTAGAAGAGCCTTTTCATCTTCTAACCATCGGATAGACTCCTAAAAGGACAAAAATTCAACAATCCAATAAGCCTCTTTGTAAGACAGAAACCAATTTACAAATTTCACATATGTTAAATATATTCAAGCATGCCTCAGATGGTATTCTCTAAAATATTAATAAGTATAAAACATCTTTATTTACATAGTAAAATTGAGAAATATTTCCTTAAATTCTAACACAAACACAAACACGATAAGCCAAGCAAGGTAACTTCATTTTTCTACTTTTACTTTACCCTGGGTAAGGGTTTGGGGAAGGGAGTGAATCAAACATGTATCAATCAGTGAGCACAATAATTCTCAAAACTTTAGTAGTTACCCCTAAAATTGGGGAAGAATGGTATAATAAAACTACTGAACAATTTACTGAGGTCTATGGTAGCCTAGAACTTGCAAACCATGTAGAATGTACAAATCCATTTGGGGCCTCATAGTGGTTGGGTCAAGAGTTAACCCTAAATCCAAACACTAGGTCTTCAAAATTATTGTAACTATAAGAGACCAACAGACAGTCAATTTTAGAAGAGTCAAACAAATCACTAAATAGTAGCTACTTACTATTCATAGACTAATCATTCTTAAGTGATTTTAGATAATGTGGAATTTATAAGTTTCATTTCCTAGCAAAGTCATGAATCATACAAATCATGAGCAAGTTCATACCATAGTGAGTTAAAGAGGCTTTGGATATATAAATGTGCACTTTCTAGCTTTCAGTATAATTTAATAGCTAATTATAACTAGACTATACATATTATCAGGCTGAATTTTAGCAACTTAGCTTTAGATATCTATTAGAAAACTATATGACAAAAAAAAAATATATATATATATATACACACACCGGTGTATATATATAGTTTTCTATACCTATATATATATCCATCTCTCTATGTGTATCAATTAAAACACATATACACATCCCAATATTTTTCTTTTTCTTTAGCTATCCATTTAATCTTTTAAAACAACACTCTATTTTGAGAAATGACAGATCACAGCACAGAGTAACAATAAACCGAATTGTAAAAAGAATACTGGATTGAAACTGAAAAATAATCACTTCTGCAAAAAACAAAGACCTTCTAGATTTCATCATAAAATGGCAGAGTGGGAAATGATAGTCTTTATATGACACCTTGCTCCAAAAGCACAGAGACAATTTTCTTAAATTACAAGTGTCCTTTCCTGATTTAATCTAAATACCTAGGCCTCTAAATAGATCACCAAAATAAGGTTTTGACTAAAACTGTTTTTCTTTTTTAATTTTTTTTAAGATTTTACTTATTTGAGAGAAAGCGAGAGAGCGCAAGCATGCAAGGAGAGAGGGTCAGAGGGAGCAGAGTCCCCACCGAGCAGGGAGCCCAATGCAGGACTTGATCCTGGGACCCCAGGACCATGAATCAAGCTGAAGGCAGTTGCCTAACCAACTGAGCCACCCAGGAGCCCCCCTGCCTTTTTTCAGACTTTTTAAAAAAGATTTTAAAGGGAGTGGCAGGCCCCCCACTGAGCAAGGAGCCTGCCTCAGGACTAGATCCGAGAACCCTGAGATTATGACCTGAGCCAAAGGCAGATGCTTAACCAACTGAGCCACCCAGGCGTCCCAGAACTGTAATAGTTTTGATGAGGGTACATCCTATTCTCAACTTATAAAATAAATAGTTCTGTTATATTTTTGAGCCTTTTTTTTTTAAAGATTTTATTCATTTACTTGGCAGAGATCACAGTAGCCAAAGAGGCAGGCCATGAGAGAGAGAGAGAGAGAGAGAGAGAGAGAGAAGCAGGCTCCCCACTGAGCAGAGCCTGATGCGAGGCTCGATCCCAGGACCCCAGGATCATGACCTGAGCTGAAGGCAGAGGCTTTAATCTACTGAGCCACCCAGGCGCCCCCATTTTTGAGCCTTTTATCCAGGTGTTTAAATGGCCTACAGCTGTCTCATGTTAATATTTGTTTACAAATAAATATTTCTCAAACATCAGAGAAGGGACACAGGTCAACAGAAAGACTGATCTATTGTTCACCTTTTTCTCAAAACACATTTTTTTTTCAAAACATATTTATAGTCTCCATAATGATACCTTAATGTTACCTTCACTTCCTCTTAAGTATCATTCTCCAGGGTATTTTCTTGTTATAAAAGGGAACAGGTGGGGGGAAGAAGGAAATCATACAGTAAATCACACAGTACTTTTAATAGGCTGAATGGACAATGGGATGAATACATCAGCAGTTACTGGGACAGACAGGGATTTAACAATCCTCACACATCTGCCACTGTAGCAACCTTTCCTTTCCTAAAGCACTTTTCCTCCTTTGTAAGGAAAGATACTTCCTCAACTGTTATGATAACCCTTACAAGTTTTTCTTACTTTTGTCAGATAAACTGTCCTAACATGGAGAAAGAGGTGGTGGAGGACAGAAGTTCAACCCTTTTCTAAAAATGGACAACTAACTAAAACAACCAGAGCAGGAGAAGAACAGTAAATAAGCTAGGTCTTTTCACCATGGCACAAAAGAAACACTGTAACCACCATTCATTTTCTGTCCAAAATATCCCATACATATACTCTACACCCTACAAATGCACATATACATACACAAAATAGTAAATTTTTAAAATTAGGATAATATTCAAAGTATTATGAAAGTTCTTAATTACCCTACAGAAATATTTGATGAAATATTTGATGTCTTATTTTACCTGGAACACTGCCCTGTGATCTTCTACAACTTGTTCTTCCATTTCTACCATTTGTGAGACAGCTTCATGGAAAGTAAACAATTGGGGAGAAACTTCTTCTTCCTTAAGATGAACATAGTTTAAAAAATTAGGACATAAAGTTTACATTTTAAATGCTACATAAAAGTAGTTTTCCCACATCATTTATAAAAATGTAATTTAAAAAAATGAGAAGTTTGCAAGACAAAGACTACTAAAATATAATATAAAAGGCAAAGCCACAACTTCTTTTTATGGGTCATAAGTATCTGATGTAACACTCAGTAAGACAGCCCAAATTTAAGCCTCTCAGTAAGAGGTAGTTTTCACTTAGCCCAGGTTTTACTGTAGAATTACCCTAAAAAAGCAATCTCTTTTGGAATAATGCAACTTTTCAAAAATATATTTATTATAAGCTAAAATATACTAAAATATTTCCTCAGTATTGTTTTATTTTTACAATCTAAGCCATTTGTATGTCTTAAATATCTTTTCACCAGAAAAGAGATTTCAAGATAATGTCTTCTATGACTGTGACTATCAAATTAAGTGTTCTAAAGGTCTCAACTCTTACTAAATCTTAATTTCTGCATTACACCTTACGGTATATTTGTCAGTTTTTATAGAAATCTTAATCAACAACTGACTTTACCTCATCAACAAAAACCCCACAGACATAAATACAACATATTCTTAGTCCTTCATCAAGTGAAAATTTCTCTAGCCTTGCTTTCTTTTTTGAGCTTCTTTCCCAACCCCAATGTCTGTAATGATTTATTTCCTCAAAATGTGGCTTTAGTGGGACGCCTGGGTGGCTCAGTTGGTTAAGCAGCTGCCTTCGGCTCAGGTCATGATCCCAGCGTCCTGGGATCGAGTCCCACATCGGGCTCCTTGCTCGGCAGGGAGCCTGCTTCTCCCTCTGCCTCTGCCTGCCACTCTGTCTGCCTGTGCTCGCTCTCTCTCCCTCTCTGACAAATAAATAAAATCTTTAAAAAAAAAAAAAATGTGGCTTTAGTGATGAGGTTTACTTAAAATTGTTTTATAAAATGTGAGTTAAAAAAGTGACTTTTTCAAAATAGATACATAATTCTAAATGTATGTACAAATTTTGGTTAAATAGTATAAGAAGACATTTTACTTCAATCAGTATGCTACCATCTGTAAAAGTTTATATATATATAATCAAGTTGGTCAAAGAACTTTTTACCTTCTCTTTGGGAAACAAATATGTTTTTATTAAGACATGCAGGGATACAATATATCATACGATAAACACACTCAACCAATTTTATTCATTATATCTGCCCACCTCCCTGTCAAGCCCAGAATATCCTTTCTTTTGCATTAAGATACTATGCAAGTTCCTATCACTTCCATGCAGTCTACTTAGAATACTTTTTTTGTCTATACAACTACTTCTGGAATGCTAATGCTCTTTATTATCTTCTACTTTGTATACTTATGTTGGTTTTATCTGTAGGACATGTCTTAGACCCTATCCTGTTTTAATTTACCTTGTTAAGACCTTAATACCACAGTAAGAAAAGGTACACAGGCACCAGTAAACTCAACTAAAAAGCTAAGGCTGAACCACCTCAAGATAGTTCCAGGGGGTAGAAAATTTCAAGGAAAGCCACATACTCTTAAATATGGAGAAGACTCCAAGAACTCATGATGTTATACTTCAAGCCTCTGGATCAGTCCTACCTAACCTCTCCAAATTAAAGTCCTACAAAGACCCAACCAGGCAGACAGAAAAATAAAATGGAAAAAAATCTGCTACAGAGAGGGCCCACCTTGTTTTCATTTTCCAAATCCTTAAGAGGCACCATACCTAGGTACAGTACATGGTTGTTTCAAGAATGCAAAAAGCAACTATACCTAACTTTTGGAGACGGGAGATAGGAATCTCATTTTCAGGCCAGGATCTCATTTTCAGTTTTTTATTTTCCATGGTTCAAAGTTCAGAACTCTTATTTTAAGCCAGGAACCCCAAGTTCCCTCACTTTTTGGAAAAGCAGTTAAAAAGTAGAGATAATTACGGTGTCTACTATATAGAGTTGTGAGGATTACATCAGATAATAAGTAAAATGCTTAGTTAATGTAAGTTATGTAGTAAGCAACTAATAAATGCCACCTTTTATCATGAGAAACTACTACTGTAAGATTCTTAAAAGAATATATAAAACTATGTAGGTTATATTTTTAAAAAGGAAGTTAATTATAAAATCTTTTACATCTCACAGAGAGGAATCCCCTCAATATATTAAAGTAATCATTGAAAACATGTATTGTTTGTGCTTTTTTTGTTACTTCTTTATACCTCTTTGTCTTTATACAACAGGTACATTATTTTTTTTTATTATTTGAGTAACTGGGAATCAAATTGTTAAATTATGAAATGTCACTAGCCATTTCAAACATACAGAGTACAACCATACTTAACAAATGTTAGCATTTTGCCATGTTTGATTTTTGATAGAGTTCATGCATTCTTTTTATATGCATGAGTCCATAGTTAATTGTTTTTAACCTATATGTATGATATGTTGTATACATAATTCTTGAAGTTGTTTTTTCCCTATATTACTTTCAATACCACCAAAGTTTAAAACTGATAGAAAATCTGAGGGGGGGTTAAAAAAAAAAAAAAGTTTAGATCAGGGTCAGCAAACATTTTAAAGGGGCAGATAGTATCTATTTTGGGCTTGTGAGCCATACAGTTTTTGTTATTGCTTTTGTCCAAGAAAGCAGCCAGACAAGTTGTAAATGAAGCATGGCCATAATTCAGTAAAACTTTATGCATAAAAACATATGGCTGGCCCACAGACTGCAGTCGGCTGACCCCTGATGCAGATGGTAGTTTACAATCATTAAGTTCTGCTACTGATGAAATGAACTAAAATCAGGTGATTAGAACTATATTATCACTCACGTTCTGTTCACAAAGAAGTTTCAGATCATCTCTCTGAGGGGAACTCCCCACACCCCATTGTGCCTCTAAGTCATCAATTTGATTTGGTGGGTGGTGCATTATTGGACGGACATCACCAGCAGCAGTTGGATCCACAGTCAATTCTTTCACCCTATTAATACATAAGAGGTACCTAAAATTAACAAAGACACATGCAGAGGATCAAGAAACTACCATCCTATTCAATTAACATATTAAGACTGATGATGTCAGCTTTCCAGATCAAGTTTATCTGAAATCTGTGTAAAGACTAAAGGGATATTCGGCTGATGAACTTTCAGAATTTAGTGAGGTAACTTTACAATTATTTCAGAGATAATTATTGTGCATAATGACAATTAGCAAAGTATGTAGATTCAGTATTTCAAAGTAAAAACAAACTGTTTTTGCAATTAAATTATATAAACAGAAAAATGCTAACAACAGCACTTAGATCAATAAAGAGATTATTGCCAAAATCAGAGAACTTAATATACTTTGTAGATTTTTAGTTGTTACAATGCTCTATTAAAATAGCCACATGTGAAATAATCATAATTCTAACATATAAAAATTATGTTATAAAGTTCTATCAATTAAAAAATGTTTACCTATTATACTTCAGTTTACACAGTGGGAGGGTACACGTTCTAAATCAAAGGATCTTTGTCATTTCCTCGCAGACAAGGAAATTTATAAGAACATACAGAGTAACGGTAAACTTCTCATTTTAAACAAGACAGTTTACCTTTCAACCATAAATATGCAAAGATGACATCATCCTTAAAATTATGAGGGGCAACAGGAAGCCTGAATTCTAAATCAACATTTTAAAACAAATAAATTAGTAAAGTACACAAAAATGAAGATCATGCAGTACAATCATCACCTGCCAAATGAAATGAAAATGAAAAATAAAATGGCTCAGAACTAAAGTATAAATGAAATATTCATATGTAACACAATTCAAAAGAAACTATGAAAATAAACATCTTATGCATAGAAGGAAGTAGACCTGGTAATCGAAGGAGAAAAGTCGTCATACTCATAAGAAGGAGAGAGATCAGGGCGACTGCCACTACCCTGTGAGAAGGGAATGTCTGATGGACTAATTCCAAACTCCTTTACTCTGCAGCACCAAAACAGCAACAAATTAAGAGAAAATGCTCTTGTAAAGACAGCAATGCACATTTCAAGTTTTTATTTTGTATTCAGCTTAATTTGTTTAAAAAAAAAGATATCAACATTGTTGTGACTTACTGTATATAGAGTACTTTAAAAAAATTTTTAAGAAGTTTCTGAATTTTTCTGTTCTATTGATACCTTTGTCCATAGTCCTTACTTTCTGGTATACTTTCCCCTTTCCTCATGACCCCTCCTAAAAGTTTAACCAGACCATCACCTAAATTTTAAATGCCCCTTCTTTAACTACATGACTATTAATTAAATTTCCTTGTACAGTCAATACTGCAAATATTTTATTAGCATCAATGACCCCTCAATATTCTTGCAGACTTTTAAAAGAGAACACAAGAGTATTAAGTCCTTACGGCATCCACTGTTTGTAATGAATTAACTTCTCTCCTATGTGTCTAGAATGGTTCCATCCTTGGTACAAAATGAGAAAGCAGTTCCTCAAATAGTTTTCTGTATTTGGTTCAGATGAAGAACCCTGGTTAAGGAAAGCCTCTTTAGCAATGGAATTTAAATTGCTTTTGGTAATATCTCCGATATTTATATATAACCAAATTATGGCTTTTCTTATACCTCTTTGTGATTCCCTATGTTCCTTTTGGAGCCATCCCATTTCACAACAGTAAGCAGTATTTATTATGTATTTCCTACATGTTAGGTATTGTGATTGTATATTTTAGGCATTATATTATATAAATCTTAAAACAATCCTGTGATATTATTTTTACCACTTTACAGATGAGAAATCGGTTCAGAGCAATAAAGTATCTTACCCAAGTTCATTCAATGAGAGTAAGTGAGGTTCAAACTTAGCTATGAGTACAAACACTATGTTATTAAACATCCAATATACTGAGCATGCTTTTCTCATTACTTCTTTTAGATTTAATAAGAATGAAATTACTATTTTGTTGGGTCACAGATAGTCATACAGATCAAACTAATAATTTCATGTAGATCAAACTAATTTATTTCTTCTACTTACAGTCCTTCTTTGACCTATTGGTAATGTCTGCTATCACAGGTTCAATACTGGATTCAGCTGCCCTTCATCCTTTATAGTCACTTTGGAAAGCTTATATACCATACAGACTGACAAAATCTAAATTTCTAACAATGACGTGATTCTTTTTATTCCCAACTCCATTTAGGATTCTATCAGAATCTTCTAATTTAGAAAGCCTATCCGTCCCTAGGCTAATATTTTCCTCTATTCCAAGGGCTTCTGTCTAACTCAAACACTAAATACTATATGCAGGAATTATATTCCTCAAATGAGCTATCAGGGGAGGTTGGAAATCTTTATTTCCAGAGGTTTGCAAAGAAAAGGCAGAATTATTTGTCCCAGACGGTTAATCACATTGCAGATAAATTACATTACATGATAATAAATTAAAACATTTACTTGGACCTAAATGAACTAGAGGAATAGCCAGATAGAATATGTTCACATTAGGTAGATTCTTTTGCAGTTAGAAGTCTGAAGACATGGAGGGGTTTTGTTTTAATTCTGTAACATGGCAATATTCTGCTATACTAAGCTGTTGCTCCTCTCTCCCATGAACAACTGGAAGTAAGAGAAGCACTTTATGATAAAAACCCCACATACCAAAAATGTTCATTATAAAAATGAAAAGTACCATAAATGTTTGCAGCTCAGAGCCCAAAATTCTAAGTTTAAAAAGGATTAAATTTAGAAATAAAGTTCCATTATATTTATAAAGAAGTTATTTTAATGTCTTTTTGCAAAATGTCAAAAGCTTATACATTCCAACAGTTTTTACTATAATAAAAAAAATCTCTTTAGTTGAAACAAAATCAAGTCACAACAGAAAAAAAGAGTATGACCCCATTTATGGAAAGTTCAAATACAGCTACCTATGTTGTTCAGAGATACATTCATAGGTGGAAAAACTGTTTTTAAAAAGAGAGAAAAAGAAAACCAAGAAAAAAGGCAAGAAAACATCTACCTTGGGGCAGAGATTAATGGATTTGGACAGGTTATTCAGGATTTGTCATCAGGAGGGGACATATGGGGAGCTTTCTAGAGAGGCAGAAATGTTCTATTTCCCAATCTGATGACAGAATTTATACTGTATAAATATTTATTAGATTATTCACTTAATGTTTTCAGTACTTCTCTGTATACATATGTATTCCCTGTTTTAAAAAAAAAGATTAAAAATAAAATTTCCATAGCAATTAAACAGGACAAATACTGTATTCAGTAAAATTAAGGGACTGTCCACAGTAGAAATGGAATACAAAGAGGACTTGGATAGCTAACAATGAGAATCACAAATGCAGTATGTGATAAGAGAAATTTAAAACTACAAAGTCATTTTTTCAAAACGAGCAACAGGAATGATTTTTGGAACAAATATAAATCTGTCTATCACAATCTGAAGTTCCAAAGGCACTTTGGAATAAATTATTTTATTTAACTTATTTTAATAAGGAATAAATTATTTTAAGTCTATAATATTTTTTGTCCTTTATTTGTAATAACATCACCGTCTATTAAATTATCTAACACTAGTGACAATGAGTAGTAAAATGTAACTCATATAGAACACCAGAAAAAAAACATGCTATCATTACTTATTCAAACCCTAGATTTCCCACATATGGCATTTAGTATTATCAGAAATAATTTTTAGCATATAGATAAAACAATTTAAGAAATACAGATTGGTCCCCTTATACTCATTTAGACTTTCCTATTAAGAAAAATTTACATGATTTAAATGTAGTAAAAAAATATGAAATATAACTTGGTGAAACAGAAAAATGTAATCATGTTCTAGAATAGAAAGACCAATTCTACTAAAGATCTAACTCTCTTTCCAAATTACACAACACATTTCCATTTATTTTCAGAACTTGACCAAATGACTCTACATATCATCTTAACAACATGCAAAACATTTTTTTAAATTAGAAAAAAATAACAAAAGTTACCCTATAAGATATTAAGTCAAAGCAACTACTGCTCTACTCCCCTCAAATTTCAAACTGAATAACTATTTTGCATACCTATTTGCATATCTTAATGTATTAAGAGTATTTTCACAGGATGCCATTCCTGGAGAGATTGTAGCAATCTGAAGGAGAAGATGCAAAGTAAAGAAAATGTTATAAATGATGAAGACAGTCTTATCAACATATTGTCCATTAAGATCTAATCTTAAAATGGTTATTTAAAATAAACATTTGTGGTATCTAAACTCCAAGAGAATTTGCAATATTACACCCACAATCAGATAATAATTGTAAGCCACATAAAATATAAACAACTCTCTGAAAGCACCAGAAAATGATTTAACTTGGACAGAAAATGGAGGTCAACATCCAGGAGGGAAGAGCACTGAGAGTTTCCACTACCCCCTCCCCACCCAATACAACAATTTTTTTGTTTAAGGGCATGCCCCACTGCTGTCACACAGGGCAACTGAAACTTCACTAGAAAACGGGAATTTCACTGGTTATACTAAAGGACAGAATTTGAAGGTAGCAACTAAAGCAGGTACAAAGTGAAGTTTGTCCCAGAAGAGAGATAATCATGTAGGGAGGTAATCGTGACAACCAAAAATTGTACATATAAACCGCCCGAATCTCTGGCTGACTCCTGAACCAGACATACATAAGGCTTACTCCAAGTAACAGCTGAGTCTAAAAGAACAGTTTTCAATTTTATCTGCTGCCCAAAACAGGGAAGACAAGAGTTTGAAATAAGTTAAGTGCACTTCTTGCTAAAACAACAACAATCAATAATCTTTAGAACATAAGAGAATTCAGTGTCTTAAGTATTTATTCATAATAAAAATTATATAAACAAAAAAATTATATAAACCAATTTTACTAGACATACGAAGAAAAAGAAAAGCATGAACCATACTCAAGGAGAATAAAAATCAATGAAGACCAACCTCAAGAAGACTCAGATGTTGGAAATAGTAGAATGCATTATAAGTACAATATAATCCTCTCTTATCAGACTGGAAGGGACCCCATTTTAAGTACCATTGTATCTCTCACAATAGAAGGATTTAAATGACTACCTTTCCAAAGATATTGTGAGTTATTCACTATTCAGGGTTAAAACAAAACAAACAAACAAACAAACATAAACTTACCATGCAGGTACGAGAATTTTCACCTATGAATGAATCTCTTAACACCTGAGTGAGCTTACTTGCTCTGAAAGGAGTATGAGGTTTATTTCTACCTAAGGCTCTGATGCACTCCTGAAAATTAAGAAAGCAAGTTTCACAGATTAGGCTCCTTATAACAAGTAATCTTATCTAACATATTTAAAAGACCTTTTATTATAACCCTAACATTTAAGATCTGATCGGCTCTGGAAATCCTACTAACAGGTTTAGAGCATAGTAAAGATGGTTACATAAAGCTAATTCAAGAAAATGAAATTAAAAAACAGTAACAACAATAACAAAGTACTTATAAAAGATTCTTCTAGAGATTTTAACTAGAATTTAGAAGTAACAGAAGGATAAAAAGCTAAACTTTGAAACTGGCATGACAAAAGAAAAAACACAATGTTTTCTTTTAACATTGCCAATCCTTCCTTTCCCTTTTTTTTTTTTTTAAAGATTTTATTTATTTATTTGACAGACAGAGATCACAAATAGGCAGAGAGGCAGGCAGAGAGAGAGAGGAGGAAGCAGGCTCCCTGCTGAGCAGAGAGCCCGATGTGGGGCTTGATCCCAGGACCCTGGGATCATGACCTGAGCCGAAGGCAGCGGCTTTAACCCACTGAGCCACCCAGGTGCCCCTCCCTTTTCTTTTTTTCAAACATTTTTTTTTTAAAGATTTTATTTATTTGACAGACAGAGATCACAAGTGGGCAGAGAGGCAGGCAGAGAGAGAGAGGAGGAGGAAGCAGGCTCCCCGCTAAGCAGAGAGCCCCATGTGGGGCTCGATCCCAGGACCTCGGGATCATGACCTGAGCCGAGGGCAGATGCTTTAACCCACTGAGCCACCCAGGTGCCCCCCCTCCCTTTTTTTTTTTTTAACATTTTTTTTAAAGATTTTTTTCCCCCAAAAGATTTTATTATTTGTTTGTTTGTTTATTTAACAGAGAGAGAGAGAGGGAACACAAGCAGGGGGGAGAATGAGAGGGAGAAGTAGGTTTCCCGCTGAGCAGGAAGCCAGATGCAGGGCTTGATCCCAGGACCCTGGGATCATGACCTGAGCTGAAGGCAGATGCTTAACCAAATGAGCCACCCAGGCGCCCCTGATCCTTCTTTTTCTATTCAAGGAAGGGACAGAATATTGTCCTCCTAACTTTCTGAAAGCCATTCCACATTTTTCTGAGACAGTATTTCTTAGCTGAGTTTTGGGATTCCTTATCTTCCCCTACGATAATTGTAACTAGTTAAAGCCCTGTAGAATCTTAGATCTTTTTTTCACTGTAAAAAAAAATGAGTATGTGTAAAGAATCCTGGGTATATTATAGATCAATAACTGTAAACATAAACAAACCTCTCTTCCTTACTAAATGCTAATTTGCTATGAATTGTAGCTACTCTAAACAAAATTAATGTCAAAAGCAAAAGATCTTTCACAATTAAATACATGTTATTTACCTTGAGTGCTAAAAGGCTTTTATTAATTTCAGCACCTTCAAGCCTGGTTTGCCTGTCTGCACTGGAAGTATCAGCTCCTCGTTCATTTCCAGCCAAATCAATGAGAGAAAATTTGCCATGTAGTTTTCCTTTCCTTCTAAGAATAATCTGAAACACTGCATGGCTCCGAGATGAATGTGCATTTGCAGATGTTTGACCGGATGTTCTACAACAATGTGATTAAGGTTATTTTAGATACCAAAAATACGTCAGTTTTTTATATTGTAAACCATGGTATTCCATCAAAGAAACCTTCAAAAAACTATCCAGTTTTCATCATTTAAGTACAAAAGAGACAATCTGACTTAAAACACTTCAACATACCAGATTCATACACTTTAATCTGGCACACTTTGAATTTATTAGTATGATTATCAATATAGTAGATATCACTCAGTAACATATAACGGTAGAAGTTTTTATGAACAAATTTTTACTATGAAAATGCATTAAGTAATACCTCTGTTTTGTTTAAATACCCAAATTATCTAAAACTGATTAAGAAATTAAGTTTCTCTTACTTAAAATGAAATTTACCTGCAACTGTTGCCTATGTCAATGAGTTTCAGTACATCTTCAACACATTTGACCTCCCGTTCCTGTAATCCCACCACTTGAACCTGTTGTTTTCCATCTTCTAGTACTCTTAATTTTGTTTTCCTGTTTAGCAAGTCAAACACCTATTAAAAAAAAAAAAAAATTGGAAAACTAGCTTTAAAGAAAAAGACTCCGTTCTATAAAAATGAATCAGAGTCCAAAAGTTATTTCAGAAAATCAGAATAACTTGAATAATAATGCTCAATATTGAAGTTGAGACTTTCAAAGGGAATTTCCTAAAATCTCAACAAAATGCTAACATAATAGTCTAACACATATAAAAATATGTGGTGGAAATGGTTGCACAACAAGTAGTTAATGCCAGTGAACGTGTACACAAAAAAAATGGGTAAAGTGTTAAATTTCATGTTATAAATATATTAAACCACAATTTAACATCCTCCCAAACAAAATCAGTTTGTTTTTTTAAGTTTCCACTTACCTTTCCACTATAAATTTCGAAAAAGGTTGCATACACTTGAAGTTCTAACTTCTTATAGTTTGGCTTCTTTAACATTAAAAAGACATCCCGAGCTGTCAAGAATTCCATGTGGAGAAAATGTGTTAAGATGTTACAAATACTATCTTTTTTTTTTTTTTAAGATTTTATTCATTTTATTTGAGAGAGAGAGAGAGAGGGAGCAAGAGAGAGAACATGAACAGGGGACGACAGGGGCAGAAGGGGTGGGAGAACAAACTCTCTGCTGAGCAGGGAGCCTGATACAGGGCTCAATCCCAGCACCCTGGGATCACAACATGAGCAGATGCTTCACTGACTGAGCCACCCAGGCACCCTACAAATACTATCTTTAAAAAGCAATTCAAATTTTCTCTATTTAGAGGAATCAATTAAGCTTTACCTAGAATGACAGTATCAATAAAAAAAATGAAGACTAAAGTGAACACTAATTTTACAAAAAAATAGTAATAGTTTTTTATACTTAAATATAGATGTCACTCTCATATTCAATAAGAGAATGCTATTTATTCATATAAATAACATAAAATTATAGGTGGTCATAGCAAGATTATTCCCATAACCATACCAGACAGAAGTTTTTCATACATTACCTATTCGACAACAAATACTTGTAAATTTCAACAAATACTAAGCTCTAATAATATGTCAAATTAAAATAATACAAATAAAATCAAGATTCCTGTTCCAAAATCTAATTCTCACAATTCTTTTCAAGCAGTCTGACAACCTAAAACTGACATAATATACACCAAGTTTAACTTTATGGTTATCCTGAAAGTCCTGAACGATATTTCCAAGTTTATTTCAAAGCCACCTGAGCAATATTCAAAACCATTACAAATGATATGCAAAAAAGACAGTTACCTGCTAATGCATAAATTCCTTTAGAACAATCTTGATTCTTTCCTGAAAAGTCACCTCCCATAGTCTACATGTTAAAAAACAAATAATAATAGACATTATTCAGGAATAAATCTTAAGAATTTAGGTTTTAGAATTAAGCCATAAGGAATATAAACAAGCTGCATAGGACGATGTAATTAATGAATTACTCACATGAGTTTTTCCACTTCCAGTCTGCCCATAAGCAAAGCATGTAGCCATTCCCCTTTCAAATATAGTTTCCACTAGTGGTCTAGCTGTAAACCTTAAAAATAAAATGCACTAGTCAGAATGTGCCATCAATATTTAAATTAAGTAAATAAAATACTAGGTCTTATTAATAAACAAAAGTCATACCAATTTTTTTTTAATATTTTATTTATTCATTGGACAGAGAGAGATCACAAGTAGACAGAGAGGCAGGCAGAGAGAGAGGGAAGCAGGCTCCCTGCTGAGCAGAAAACCCGATGCGGGACTCGATCCCAGGACCCCGAGATCATGACCTGACCCGAAGGCAGCGGCTTAACCCATTGAGCCACCCAGGCGCCCCATACCAATTTTTTTTAAAGGTTTTATTTATTTGACACAGAAACAGAGAGTACAAGTAGGCAGAGTAGCAGGCAGAGGGAGAGGGAGAAGCAGGCTCTCCGCCAAGCAGGGAGCCCCATGCGGGGCTCAATCCCAGTAACCTGGGATCATGAATTGAGCCGAAGGCAGCTGCTTAACCAACTGAGCCACCCAGGCGCTCCCATACCAATATTTTTAACAAATCAGTGGGCTCAACTGTCAGACTACAGTTGAGCCCACTGATTTGTTACAGTTTTTAAATAACCTTATCTTAAAATTGCTTACAGCTCTTTAAAGCATAATTTCAAGTAATTCCATAATAAAGGATGGTCACAATGGGCCCCCCCCAAAAAAAGAGAGAAAGAAAAAGACAGTAACTGAGCTAAGACATGTGTATGTAAAAGACAATATTAAAGTTTTAAAAATAACGGGACGCCTGGGTGGCTCAGTTGGTTAAGCGGCTGCCTTCGGCTCAGGTCATGATCCCAGCGTCCTGGGATCGAGTCCCACATCAGGCTCCTTGCTCAGCAGGGAGCCTGCTTCTCCCTCTGTCTCTGTCTGCCTGTGCTCGCTCTCTCTCCCTCTGTCTCTGACAAATAAATAAATAAAAAATCTTAAAAAAAAAAAAGTTTTAAAAATAACAACAAAAAAATGTAATACTAGGCAAGACAAGTAAGGTTTCTACAGTGAAAACCAACAAAACCAACCAAACATACAAAAACCCACACTACCAGGATTAAAAGTTGTAACAGAAATCAAATCAAAAGGGTGATAATCTCGAGAGAAAAAAAAACAAAACTATAAAAACATTATCTTAAGGCCATCTACCCAAGTAGAAAAGTGACAGGGTTTCCTTGAATGTAGCTAAGTAAATATAAATTATACATATAAGACACTGGAGTTGATAGTCTCAGTTCAGGAGAAGGATGCAAAAATATGGTTTTGAATTATTTTTCAAACCTGTTATTGTAATCACAGCTAGAGTTAAAATTATAGAAATACTTCATTGAGCAGAGCTCTAGAAAGTATAATGGGAAACAAATCTTTTTTCATATTGGCTTCAAAATAATGTATGTGGGGCACCTGGGTGGCTCAGTGGGTTAAGCCTCTGCCTTCTGCTCACGTCATGATCTCGGGGTCCTGGGATCGAGCCCCACATCGGGCTCTCTGCTACGTGGGGAGCCTGCTTCACCTCTCTCTCTGCCTGCCTACTTGTGCGCTCTCTCTGTGCCAAATAAAAATAAAAAATCTTTAAAAAAAAATAATGTATGTGGAACACTTTATACAATTCTGCTGAATTTTTTTTTAAGGAACAACTGAAAAAGGCACAGAACAGAAGAAGCAGGAAACAGTGGTCAAATAGAAGTAGTAAATGAGGGTGCGTGGGTGGCTTAGTTGGTTGGGCAACTGCCTTCGGCTCAGGTCATGATCCTAGAGTTCCAGGATCGAGTCCCACATCGGGCTCCCAGCTCCACAGGGAGTCTGCTTCTCCCTCTGATCTTCTCCCCTCTCATGCTCTTTTTCACTCTCTCTCTCAAATAAATAAATAAAATCTTTAAAAAAAAAAAATTGTAGTGAATGAGTCTACAGAGTGATTAGACAAAAAAAGGCCTAACTCGCATTCCCTCAAAGGTAAATAAAGAGGATAGCATCAATACTGGTAAAATTAAGAAGCAATATATATAAGGTAAAACTTAATGTTTACTTAATCTAGCATATTCAGAGAAACATACCTTATAATTATAAAGTCAAACAGACATATTTTATGAAGCAGGAGTGGAAGAAGAAAAGGAAGCGGGAGGGGAAGAGGACTCTCTTCTCCAGTAAAAATACACAATTCATATTAAGTTTCCTTTTAAAACAAATTCTTCATAATACCATTTAGCACTCACATATTCTTTGATTTTCTCCTCTTTTTTTACAACTGAACTCCCAGTTTACTGGCTTAAGCCCAATGGAGTTGATCTAAAAAATATCTCATTAATAAGACTTCAATTCTCAGGACTCTTATTAACCATTTAATTTTCTGTTTTCCAGCCATATTTATAAAATGAAAAGTCAATGAAAAAGCATTCAAGTAATTGCCAAGATAGTTCTATATAGATTGAAATAGCACTGCTGTTAAAACTGACCTGTTATAATTAGAAGGCAATGTTTACAAATGATGTATGCAAATATTCCAAATTTCTTTACTAATACAGAGACTAAAAAGCAAAAAGTAAAAGTCCCCTATAATCATATCACATTGCTAGAACTACAGAAAACGCCTACATTTTCCAGAAATTTCCTATCCATATATAAATATATATCTAATGTATGGGATATATAATATACAGTGCGTGAGATACATATTAGTAATAAAAACTATGATTTGGGGGGAGAATTAAAGGGAACAAGTAAATACTGATTATTGTGTTTATGACATAACTTTTGTTTAAACTCAGAATAAAAGAGCATATTGTACTTTTGGAGAGATATGCCAAGATCAACACAAGGTTCAGGGTAGTGATAAATACACAGTATAAGAACAAAATTGTTATTTAAAACAAATTTACCTACCTGTAAACCATTTCATTAGGAGCTGAGTCATCAAAGGCATAATCAAAACGAAATGTTTGGTTTTCTAGGTACCTTGTTAAATCTACTTTTTGTTTTGGTTCATGTACCATCACAACATCTTTACTAGGGATTGTGATTACATCAAGATCTTTCATTTGAGTTTCTAAAAGAATAAATGAAAATCAATGCCCAGTAATTTTCATAGCATCTGGATGTAATAAATAATTTTTAAAAAGTGATAAAAATTTTAATAGAAGTATTAATTTCTATAAATATAAGTATCTCATAAATATGCCATTCAAGAAGACATATTTGAACAACCAAGTAAAAAAATTATCAAAATTTCTGTAAAGCAAGAACTAGAAATGGCAATGATTCATAGAGCAGTAACAAAGCAGATGTAACAAAGAAATCTGCATAATGATTATGTAACAAATAAAATTATTTATATTTAACTTTTCTAAACCAATTTAATTTCTGCTATCATTAAAATAAATACCAAATGGACAAAATCAACCTCTTATTAAGAGTTCAAAAAGCATCATACCTTTTTTATTGAGTGGTCGTTTTCTTACACAAACGCATATTCTATGTTCATCAATCTAGAAATAAAGTATTTTATTTCAATATTTATTGTGTTATATGAAAACTGAAAAGCCAGTTATGCAATATTTCCTACAGATTTTAGAAATTTATGCATATCATAAATAGGATAAATAAGCTTAAAAATCAAATTAGTATGTATGAATTTTAATAGTCCAAAGACAATGATTTCTAAAATTCTGAGCATAACTGAAAATTACTCATTTTATTATTTGGTAAATAATTAGGAAATAACTTTGTAGAGGGAACTACTGTTCCTATTAGCAGCATAAGGTTCACACTAAGAAGCTGCCTTACTTCCATATATACTGCACATAACATAAGCGAAATTTCCTACCAAGTGGTGTACTGTGAGATTGATTAAAGGGAAAGGTATTGACAAAGATAACTAATAGCAAGAAATGCGATTCTCAGATTATTAGTGAGCAAAATAACTCCCAATAATTTTATAATAGCCAATTCTTACACATAAATATTTTTCATAAAATTTATTCTCTCAATACCTCCCTTTTAATAATAAATATATAACACAGGGATTGGCAAAGTATGGTCTACAGACCTAATCCAGCCCACTACCGCTTTTATGAATTTTACCGAGACAGCTGTACTCATTTGTTCACATACCGTCTATGGCTGCTTTCATAGTACAAAGGCAAAACTGAGTAGTTGTGATGAAGACCATATGGCTCACAAAGCCAAAAATATTTACTATCAGGGCCTTTTAAGAAAAAGTTTGCCAATTACTGTCCTAAAGTATGAATTCAGATGTAGTAGATTAAACACAGGTAGGGGTAAGCAAGGACTAAAATATATACAAAAGTGTTATGAACAACAACTCTCTGAAATCCTAAATACTTCGGCTTGACACAAATGTATTTTATGTACCCAGGGTATTCTGTACATGCGAGGTCAGATATTATTTTTCTTAAGTATCAATTACTCACAAACTATTCCCTGTCCAAAAAATTCTCATTCTTCAAGAGGAAAGTAGCTGAGTAATAGGAAAGCAGAATACTTTTCAAACACTAGATTTCTGGTCTAGTATGGTCCTCAACAACCACTAAAAGCTAGACTAACATTTATTTTAAAATATCAAATTAACTAATAGTAAATTTGTATGACAGTGGCATCTATAGGCCAAATCAAAGAGGAAATAGGCTTGGAACTGGGATAAAATTTTCAATGATGGTCAGAAAGAAGAATGGGTCTTCTGACATCATTCCTTAAACTGTTGTTCTGCTCTACCAAGGACAGAGTCTTTGCTTTGAAAAGAACATCTCCATGGGAAGCATGTCTGATTAATCAAATTATGGGAGATAAGCATAACGGTGAATGATTTCTTGATATTCACCTTAAAACATGAGGAATATACACCCATAAAGAAAGAAACTACACAGCTAAATCCAGTATTAAGTGGGCACTGAACATTTTTTTTAACAGCATAAAAAAATTCCAGAACAATAGTTTACAAAGAATCTTACAGGATCTGCTGTTGTTAACGGTCTATAATCCAAACTTCCTCTAAAGTCTCTGATCATACACATAATTTCATAATTTGGGTTTGTAGCATCAACATCCTATAGGGAGACAGAGAAAATTCATCATTTATTATCATTACAAAAATCGATATTGTTGCATTTGTTTTTTTTTAAGATTTTATTTATTTGACATACAGACATCCCAAGTAGGCACAGACAGGTAGAGAGAGAGCAGAGAGAGAGGGGGAGAAGCAGGCTCCCCGCTGAGCAGAGAGCCTGATGTGGGGCTCGATCCCAGGACCCTGAAATTATGACGTGAGCCAAAGGCAGAAGCTTAACCCACTGAGCCACCCGGGCACCCTGCTTCCCCCTCTCTCTCTGCCTGCCTCTCTGTCTACTTGTGATATCTGTCTGTCAAATAAATAAATAAAATCTTTTTAAAAAATAAATAAATAAAGCCACTCTTGAATTATTTCAAAAGTTCATGTGTTACACATACAACTTGATCAACCTAGAAAATGAAGCAAGAGAAAAATAGCGGTCATCATAAAAATCAATAAAGAACTCTAGAAAAACTGAAATTCTACAAAAATTCATTTAATCAGATTTTTCTTCGCCATGCTTAATCCAGTGTTTCAGCAAAACAGAAACATGGATTCGTTTATGTTCATTTCCTGTTCTGGTTGATTCTCTCAAAAAAATTTAAAAACCTAAGGCACAGTAAAACCACCTCAAATGGACAGGACTTAAAGGAATCAAAAGACAAGATAATTTTTGAAATCTTTAAAATTCAAATTACTGAATGTTGGAATGTTGTCTGCATTTCACTTTTCTGCTTCAAAACTGAGAAAATTCAGATTAAGACCCATGTAACAATAGTTAACCATCTCTCTTAGCCATGAGTAATAAATTATTAAACATTCTAAGAAGCCAGATTTTCTTCCTGCACCACGTACAGATTCGCTTTGAATATAAATTTCAAAACTGTTACTGAAACTTACTTTCAATTAACTTTCTTTTAGGAAATAACACCAACTATGTCAATGGAAAAAGTGAATGTAAAGTTAAAATTAAGAGATAACAAAGAGATATGAAAATATTACGAGGTTCCCACAGGAAACACCAGGTGGCATTAGTGCTAAGTATCAGTAGATCTATCTGTATTGTGTTTTACTTATTTCAAAACCCAACTGGCTATCTCAGATCACTTTAAGATATAACCTAATTTATTCAAGTTGAATTTTATACTGGTTTCATAATTCCATAACACAACGCCCTTTATGATTAAGGGCATTTGAATATACTTCTAAATAAAGAAATAATCCTCATGTTTTAATAGAGAAACAAGTTCTAAGAATATAATAGATATAATACAAACACACTAGAAATTATATGTAAAGAAACATAATTTCTAATAGGTGAAGACCTATAAAGAGAAAGGACCAGTCTTCTATATAATTTTTTCATTGTTAGTAAACAGTTTTGTTACCATCTAAAGGGAACATGAGAGGCACCACAGAGACACAACTTTTAATATCTAGCATAAACTCAAACAGAAGGAATCTTCCCTTGCATTGTGATATGCTGAATTTACTAACCATGGAAAAACAAAATAAAATTTCTAGTGTAATTATCTACTTTATAATCAACTACTTTAACTAGATATTCTTCTGAATATATTTTAGATCTTTTTACAAAGTCAGTCTTACTATTCTTGAAAGGTATAATGGCTGCATTAGAATTGTAACACAACGAATTATTATTCAAAATGGAACAAATGTTAGGACTAACACATCCACTAAAACATGAAAAGTACATGTAGTAAAAGTCTGTTACAGTATTTTCAAAGGTTCATATCATTTTTCATTATCAGTTTAGATCTCAACTAAAGGAACTATATTGAAATCTTTAACTGAATGCCTCAATTACTTTCAAATCACTTTCACTGACACCATCTACATCTTCAGTTCATGCATAAACAGTGTTTCTGTTACAAACCTGGGCTCTTTTTTCTCTAAGTTCTTGCTGCTGTAGTCTCCTTTTTTCTCGTTTTTCTTGTAATTTTTCTACTTCTTTCACACAATTAGATTTTCTACGTGCTGAAAGAAAAAGATGAGCTGTTGAAGTAGACCTTCTTATTTACAGTACTGTACTTATACACAAAAATGTTAAGTATAATTTCACCACATACACCCAAAAAATGGTACACATGCAAGGCATGCCTTTAACAATTATGTGAACTTATGAGCTGCTTTAACAAAACCAGGAACAGGACAAAATACAGATAGCAGTCAAGAAAAATGACTTTAACATATTGATACATGTCATCTCTTGGTTTACAATCACAGATGTATGAATTGGAAAGGATCAAGAAGCGTAAAATTCTTCCATAACATCTGTCAAATTGTCATCTGACCAGAATTTCAAATTCAAAGCAAGTGGAAAGTTGTTATAATTTTGTATTTATAAATCTTCTTCAAAATATACATTTCAAAACCCAATTAACAGACTAAACTAACAAGAAAAAATATTTTTCCACGGTGGTAAAATGAAATCTGCAATCAAGCTTACAATTAGACTCTTTACCATTTGGGGACTTCTAAGGATGACCAAGAGAGAATACATGTATGCCTAGAATGACTGAATCCTTGATACATGATTTACATACAAGGGGGTCCAAATTCCTTTTTTGCAGCTTGAACTGGAGATATATCTGAAACACTACCATTCTGTTGTGCAGAGGAAGACTGCTCAGGAAGCTGACTAGGCCGTGCACGTGCAGAACCAACCACTGCAAGTGAAATGAAATTTTTAAAATTCAGAACAGAAAATCAGTAAAGGTGAACCCTAGTAAAGGAACAGAGATACCTCAAAAGAACTGATACTTACGAGTTGTCAGTTTTCTACTTATGTGGGTATAAAGAGAATGTGTAATAATCAATTCTGTTCAATCAACTAACAAGCCAAGAGGTTTTCAAGGTAATGTGTGCAGAGACTTAGACTTCACCAAGGTAATTTTAACTACAAAACTCAATCTGAATAATTTATATAAAAAAGCAAAGCCAAGGGGCACCTGGGTGGCTCAGTGGGTTAAGCCTCTGCCTTCAGCTCAGGTTATGATCTCAGGGTCCCGGGATCGAGCTCCTCATTGGGCTCTCTGCTCAGCGGGGAGCCTACTTCCCGCCCCCGCCCCCTACGTGTGATCTCTCTGTCAGATAAATAAATAAAATCTTAAAAAAAAAAAAAAAGCGCAAAGCCAAGCCTGACTTTTAATAATCATTTAAAAAATGTAAGTGTGCAGGGGCACCTGAGTGGCTCAGTCAGCTGAGTGGCTGGCTCTTAATTTCGGCTCCGGTCATGATCTCAGGGTCCTGGAATAGAGCCTTGAGTCCAGCTCCGTGTTCAGCAGGGAGTCTGCTCGAGGATTCTTTCTCTCTCCCCCTACCTCTGCCTCTGCCCACTTGAGCTCTCCCTTTCTCTAAAATGAATAAATAAATCTTAAAAGGCCCCCTAAAATATACATTTAAGTGTACAAAATAGAAATTTTAAATTTAAATGCACTGTCATTTTGAAAATTTATACAATTCTCAAGCACATAAAGTAAAAAAACACTCCTTCAACCCACCCTGTAATTCCAAATCCCGCTCTTTGCTCCTCAAACATGCAAATATTTCCCAATGTATGTTATAAAAGTGAAAAGATAAATATAAAGTAAAATATAAACACCACATTTTACAAAGCAATATATAGTTTCACAAGATTCAAAGGAAGGATAGTGTTTAAGGTGCAGGACTTTCCCTCCACCTCCAATCTCTCTTCTAATACCTAAGCCTGTCCTGTCCCCCCACCCCTACATACGGAGAAACATCACAATCAGAAACATCAATTCTGAATTGCTGAAGAGTAAAAAAGAAATTAACTGTACTTCACATTTCCTTACTGAAAATACAGGGAAAACATGCAATTAACTATAAATTGTACCTGTTCAATTTTTCTGTAGCTGATTACCAAGTCGTGAATCTTTTGGGAAGACTGTTAGCCAGAAAGTCAGGTAAAATGGGATTAGATTAATAACTCTTGCGAACTCAATTAACTGACTACTGCCTCATTCCTTTCTTTCTCATGATACTCTTCTCAAATCTACAAAGTTATTGGGTAAAGGAGAGTAATCAAAAATTGCATGTAACAGAGTTTCATATTCATCACTTACCTTTATAAATAATTTTTTGTATTACTCACTTTTTTTTCAAGATTTTAATTATTTGAGAAAGAGAGAGTGCATGAGCCAAGGGAGGGCCAGGGGAGAGAGAGAGAAGTAGGCTCCCCACTGAGCAAGGAGCCCAAGGTGGGGCTCAATCCCAGGACCCCAGGATCTTGACCTGGGCCGAATTCAGAAACTTAACTGACCGAGCCGCCCAGGCACCCCTTTATATTGACATTACTACATTAGGAAATCAAGAAGATACCAATCTTCAAATTAGCCATATAAAGTTTAAATCAATAATAATGTCAATGGTAATATTCACTTTTGATTTACCTTGTTGGGACCATACTAGAAAGTTAATAGACAATAGATAAATGTTTACCTCTGTTATCTCTTGGAGGAGGGTCATTCTTAATAGAAGCCACAGTCCGTCGATTCTGTAAGAGAAAAATAAAAACGTTCATTTTACTTTCTCTCTTTACTCCTATTTATAACTTGGGCTTCCTTTAATTAAACAAAAGTAGGTGAGCATAATATAAAACTAGATAGAAAAAACTATAAATAGCTTCTAATAATTATTACTAATGCCATTAGTATTCAAATTTGTTTACGTGAGTATTGCCCACCATCTCTACAGAGAATGCAATATTCCAGAATTAGCACAAGGCAGGTACTGCTCATATTAAGTCATTTGAGCTTCAAAACAACCCTATCGGGTCATTACTATTATTATTATTCTGGTTTCATAGATGAGAAAACTGAAGCAAAGAGAAGTTATTTCAGTAAAGGGCATAGTTCTAGCCACCATGCTAAAACCACGTAATACATTTCAAAGGTAGGTATTACATTTCATCTCTGGATGTCAGAGTAATCAATAAAATACTGGCTTTAGACAACCTATTGTCTACTATTAAACTTAAACATCAAAATACCATGATTATGTTATCATTTCTACTGAAAGACTTCATCAGACTTTCAAAGACTTCGAACTGCAAAGTCTAGGGCAGTAAATTTTTGATCCTATCCTTTATTTACCAAGATTTCATTTTATTCAACTGAAAAAAGGTATCAAATAATGGCTCTCAACGCAAGAGAGAACATTTGTACATTTAAATCAAATGGATTCTATTAAAAGAATATTGATACAAGGGTCTCACTTTAGAGAAAATAAAACTGAACAGCTAGGAGTGGACAAGGCATCAATATTTTGAAAAGTTCTCTAAGTGATTTTAATGCCCAGCAAAGGTTCTTTTTTTTTTTTTTTTTAAGATTTTATTTATTTATTTGACAGACAGAGATCACAAGTAGGCAGAGAGGCAGGCAGAGAGAGAGAGGAAGGGAAGCAGGCTCCTGAGCAGGGAGCCTGATGCGGGGCTCAATCCCAGGACCCTGAGATCATGACCTGAGCCCTAAGGCAGAGGCTTAACCCACTGAACCACCCAGGCACCCTCTTTTGTTTTTTTAATATTTTTTATTTGTTTGAGAGAGAAAGAGAGCATGAGAAGGGGGAGGGTCAAAGGGAGAAGCAGACTCCCCGCCAAGCAAGGAGCCCGATGCAGGACTCGATCCCGGGACTCCGGGATCCTGACCTGAGCCGAAGGCAGACGCTCAACCAATTGAGCCCCCCAGGTGCCCCACAGCAAAGGTTGTTAATGACATACAAAGAAAGATGATCTATAAAGATCCTTCAAGGCTGTGAAGCCAAATACGGAAAACAATCCATCTACAAGTCATAACTAATGACGTCTAAGCAGTGACACTCAATGTGCTGAATTACATGAATTGAAAATCTGCCTTATAATTTAAAAAGTAGAATGTTTTGCTGATATCGTTAAGCTTCTATCATACGTTATCTGGATGCTGATGTATGTCTTCCCTGTAAAATATCAAGTTTCTCTAGGGTTAAAGTAATGTCATTCATCTTTGTGTGTGATAAAATCAACAATGTAGAAAAATTAACAAATGCTTGAACTAAACACATAGAACTGCAGATTCAACAACTGTGAGCAATTACCTGGTTTTGAAAGAGCTTCACGTAAATACACAATTTTAATAGTGAGAAATTTCAATAGGAAGGAAGAGGAATTATCTTTTAAAGTAATAAAAAGGGCATGGCTTTTATTTTTATAAAGGCAAAACTGTTAGGATATATAGCATGGTCTTAAAGTTTATCTTCACAGATAACACAGAAGTGGTTAAACTGTACGCTATCATTTCCCATCTTTCTCTAATAAACATAAACAGCAGAATTACTATTTCCAAAGACTGCTGGAGTGGGAAATTATTATGAATAATAAACATTCTTTATCTAAATCACATGTAGTCACTTAACAAACACTGATAAATGGTTTTGACATCCCTATCTCCTGGGGAGCTATTAGTCTTAGGAAAAATCCTAATCAGGAAAGAATTTCTAGGATTTTACCTATTAAGTATTGTTAACTGTGAACTGACAACCTCAATCCTTCAAAGAATGTATGCATACACATGACATATAGATGGCAAAAAGAATTAGTTTTATTTTTTAAAAAAAGCAAATATACTCTTAAAAGCCTTTTCATTTTAAACCAGAAAATACATACACACACACGCACATACACCCTGTACACCTCTAAATTTTCCTTACTAACCTTTACAATTTTATTTACTTTGGCTGAAGATGTTGGAGGTGGAGGTGTTTCTGGACTGGGTTCAATTTCTTCATCAGGTACAAGATCAGGGTTAAGTGAAAAGATGCTCTCAAGGTCAATCTGTTTTAAAAAATGCATGTATCTTCAGAGTAAATTTTGACAATTAACTTTTTATATTACAAATTTACACAAAGAGAATGACTGCTAAATGATCTGTCTCATGAAAAGTACTGAAAACAAAATTATCTACAATTATAACCCACATATTAAGACAGCTATTAAGACTGCATTTTATGGTCTTGATAATATGTCCCATCACTTACAATGTACAGGAAGAATCTACCTTTCTTTGAAATGTTTTAATCATGTGAAAGTTTTTTCTAGAAATGATAAAGAATACATGCACTATATAAAAAAGTATACACTTTACAGTTTATTTTGTATTTGGAACCTTGACTGTAAGACTAGAAATAAAATTTAGCTCAGTGACAGGCATGCCTGGATCAGTCAGTGCAGCATGCGTCTCTTTATCTTGGGGTTATGGGTTTGAGCCCCACGCTGGGTGTAGAGATTACTTAAAAATGAAATCTTTAAAAAAAAAAAAAAAAATTTAGTGATCATACCTCTTTGCCTTTTGTATCTCCATTTTCTATCCATTCAACAGTTACACTTTCATTATCTTCATTTAAAGACGTTACCATTGCTTGATGTATTCGGCCTAAGTGGGAATAAAACATACATTTTAATCCATAAATTATGGTATTCCTAAACAATGCCAAATACAATTTCATAACTTAAAAACTTTTGAAAAACTATGATACTAATTTTCTTACAAGGGATTTCCAGACTCACAATTAGGGAATGACCTTTGTCCATGCAATCATTAATCAATGTGCTGTCGAGACCGGAACTCAAAAAACTGAATAAACTGTAAGTGTATTTTCAACAAACATGAAAAATGGTTATACAATGGCAGAGAATGGCTGAAATTTTTGCCATTATATAGTTCTAATCATTACAAAGTTTCCTTACTATGAGATGAACTGATTGTAGAACAAAAATTCAAAAACCAAATTTTTACACTAAAACACTTCTTATGTAAAAATCACTATCAGGGCACCCAGGTGGCTCTCTCTCTGCCTGCTTGTGATATCTCTCTCTCTCTCTCTGACAAATAAATAAATAAATAATCTTTAAAAATTGCTATCATATATTATAGAAATTCACATTATTTTTATTAGATTGAGAAAAGTATTCTAAGTCCAAAAAGGCTGGGAAATGTAATCTAATATCTATACCTTACTTTCTCTGGCAACTCTAGTACTTCCTATCTGTAGGGAAAGGACATTATATCTAATGTATTAACTTGTTTTCCCTCTTAAAACAAACTGTGGATGTTGTTAATAACAATAAAACTAAGTAATTATTTTTACTTATTACAGAATATTCCATTATATTTATTACAATTTACTTCATACCTACTGATGGTCACTTAGGCTATGTGCAATTTTTTGCTATTATAAACACTGCAATGAATACTATTGTACATGTGTCATTATACATTTGTCAGATTATTTCTTTGGAACAAATTCCTAGAAGCAGATTGATAAGTTTTGAAGCGTTTGTGTACTTTTTACTAACTTGTTTTCATCTTACCTACCCACTCATTAATTAAAGAAGGATAAAAACTATTTGTTACAGATCTGCATCTTCATATTATTTAATAAAATGCTGAACATATGGAATTTTCACATGTATTTGCTGAATGAAATCCTTGGGACATCAATACTATACCTTTAGTTTATACCTCTTTGACTACCTTAAAAAAAACAAACGAACAAACAAACCACAAATCCAGATATATAGTATACAAAACAAACAATGTTACTGTAATAATAAGGCACTTACTGAGATAAATGGACATTAGAGAGCTGGGTGTTGGGGGTAGAAAAGAAATAACCTAGGAAATACCTGGGAAGATTCAAGGGAGAGGCTTATAAAAAGGGGAAATTGGGTAATATATTCACTGCAATTTAATATGGACAAAAATTAGGTAAACAGCCAGAAGAAGTGGTCTGTGTCAGTCAGGTCCACCAGGAAGCAGACATTGAGACAGGTGAATAAGAGTTTTACTGTGAAAGATAAAGGGGAGTACAACAGAACTAGACATGAAAAACTTTCAGACTGTGATACAGATCTGAAACCTGTGAAGGAAAGGTTACATAAAATAGGACTGAGCAGAGAAAGCCTCAGACCCTGACACAGATCTGACAAAGTGCTAGCCAACCCAGCAGGGAGATCCAAAGCAAAGACTGCCCATTAAAACAGTCCCACACTGGGCCAAAATGGAAATACCCTAGTACCCACACGATGCTCAGTCACTGGCTGGAGGTTTCCCAGGAAACACAAGGCCTCAGCACAAAATCTAAGGAGCCTAAAGCTATTAATACCTAGAGGCTATGAACTATAATGCACTCCCTAGAGCTGAAGGAGTGGTAAGTTCCTTAAAGGGAGATCCAAGCAGGTATCTACAAAGATGGCTGCAACAGGATATGAAAAAAAAAAAGAGAGAGACTGAGTTTAACTGTAGAAGAAGTAAAGAGTGAACCCCAGAGAGACATGAGTCGCCCTGATGATGGCCATTACAATCTAGGAGGAGCTACCACTGCTACAACAAACCCCACATTTATCACCATCTCCACAACATGAGTAGTGAGGCTAAGAACATCAGCTACTGTCTCCCAAACCTACCACCCGTGACAGCCTCAAAATAGCAATACCCACTAGCAGGAGCAAGATGACTGCAGAAAAGGTTTTGGGAAAAATAGAGTATTTTAATTTAAGACACTGATAGGATTTTATCAATAGCAAATGACTCCAAAGAAGATGTACTTAAACACTAGACTACCATAAAGAATAACTTTTGGCAAGAAATGGAAAGGCTGTAGTTGAGGTTGCTGAAGAGGAGAGATAAGGGATCTCCATGCCCAACAGAACTGCCACAATAATGAGAATGAGGGAAAGCATATAATGTTGCAAAAGCAAGACCAACACCACATTCCTACTGGTAAGCATCTACTACAATATTCCAACTTCCCTTGGGGAGTAGACTACAAGACCTATCTCACAGGGACCTTAATCTCCAAAGATAGTCTAGAGACATGAGTAACAAAGAGGATAAAGAAAATCAAGATTTCCTTTTCAAAACCCATTCTCAGCAAACCTCAACAGTGGTACCTCCAGAAGTTCAATTACCAGTAGAAGACACCCAGAAAACCTTAAGCCACATGTTAGCAGAGTCAAAAGCAGCTGCTCCATTAAGGTTCCTCAAAAAGATGAAAACAGAGCTACCCTATGATTTAGCAATCGCACTACTGGGTATTTATCCTAAAGATACAAATGCAGTGATCCAAAGGGGCACGTGCATCTGAACGTTTATAGCAGCAGTGTACACAATTAGCCAAATATGGAAAGAACCCAGATGTCCATCAACAAATAAATGGATAAAGAAGATGTGGTATATATACACAATGGAATACTCTACAGCCATCAAAACCCCCGAAATCTTGCCATTTGCAGCTACGTGGATGGAACTAGAGAGTATTATGCTAAGCGAAATAAGTCAATCAGAGAAAGATAATTATCATATGATCTCTCTGATATGAAGAATTTGAGAGGCAGGGCAGGGGGCTGTAGGGAGTAGGGAGGGAAAAAAAAGAAACAGGATGGAGCAGGGCAGGGAGACAAACCATAAGAAGACTCTTAATCCCAGGAAACATCCTGAGGATGGACACTGGGGAGGGTACGTGCTATGGTGAGTGCTGTGAATTGTTTAAGACTGATGAATCACAGACCTGTACCCCTGAAGCAAATATACATTATATGTTAATTTAAAAAAAAAAAAAACCCCAAAAAACTCTAGAGGTTTAGAAAGGTAGACCTGATGGGCGCCTGGGTGGCTCAGTGGGTTAAAGCCTCTGCCTTCGGCTCAGGTCATGGTCCCAGGGTCTTGGGATCGAGGCCCGCATCGGGCTCTCTGCTCAGCAGGGAGCCTGCTTCCTCCTCTCTCTCTGCCTGCCTCTCTGCCTACTTGCGATCTCTCTCTGTGTCAAATAAATAAATAAAAGAAAAGAAAAAAAAAAGAAAAAAAAGAAAGGTAGACCTGAGAAAATGTTGGCTTATCTCTACCATGGTCCAGTTTACTCAGCCAACAGGAAGGAAAAAATATGAAATTCCAGTAACAAGAAATGAATAAAGACCAGAGCTGAATGAATGAATCAAGTTTTAAATTTTTGCTTTTTTCTGCCAGTGGATGAGATAACCAGAAATACCTGCAGTATGAGGTTTTGATTATTTTTATCAAAAGCTGTCTCTAAAAATTAAGTTTCAAGTCTAACTTAACCCAATATGCCTTTAAAGTTTTTTTAAATTGTTTTTTATATAGTCCAAGTGAGATACTCAAATTTCTCATTTTTAATTATAATAAAAAATAATTTTTTCCAAAGCATCCCATTTCTCTGGTTTGAGAAAATTCTGTATTCCAACTTCATTAATTCATTGCCCTTTGACTGATTCTCCCTTTACTTTATTGTAAATTACATCATATACATTTCTACATTTAAAAAAGGGAGGGGCGCCTGGGTGGCTCAGTGGGTTAAAGCCTCTGCCTTCAGCTCAGGTCATGATCCCAGGGTCCTGAGATCAAGCTCCACATCAGGCTCCCTGCTCAGCAGAGAGCCTGCTTCTCCCTCTCCCTCTGCCTGCTGCTCTGCTTACTTGTGCCCACCCCTCTCAGTCAAATAAATAAATATCTTAAAAAAGACAGAAAAATGGTGCTATAGGCATCCTTATACATGCATACTGATAAAAATATGCAAGAATTTCTCCAGGATGTGTAGGAAATATAGAGTACAGAGGTCTGTAACTTTTCTGTTAGTGCCATGTTTTCCAGAGTGGACAGACCTATAATGATTTGTATCCTACTAACAATTACTTCACATCCACATGATACTTAGTATTTGTCAGATTTAATGTATCATACTGTGGTTCTAATTTCTCTGAATTAATAAGGCTGTGCCTGTTTCTGTGTCTGCTGGCCATGTGGGCCTTTTGACTGTTTTCTTCTTCCACTTCTCTGAAGAAATTCTCCATATATTCTTGGTACTAATCTCCTGTTACATGTGTCGCAAATATTTTCTCTAAATTTGGGGCCTATCTTTCCACTTTATGATGTCTTTTGATGAATTTCAATGTATTAACTTTAATGTAGTCAAATATCTATGTCTCAATTACAGCTTTTTATGCCCTCAAGTTCTTCCTTGACACTCAGGTCATTACAACAGGTTCTGACATTTTCTTCTAAAGTTTTACAAAGTCCTAAGGTGCCTGGGTGGCTCAGTAGGCTTAGTCTCCGACTCTTGATTTCCACTCAGGTCATGATCTCAGGTCAGGGTGGTGAGATCGAGCCCTAAGAGCTCTGTGCTCAGCAGGGAGTTTACAGGAGATTCTCTAGTTCTCCCTCTCCTACCCCTCCCCGCTGCTCACACATGTAAGCTCATTCTCTCTCTCTCAAATAAGTAAATATTTTTAAAAACTAGACTTTACAGAGTCTTTCATATTCAAGACTGCAACCCACTGTCATTTTGGTTTTTGCGCGTGGTAACACAATTCCCACTCCCCCCACCGCCTCCCACCATGAAAAACAAATTAATACAGTGC